TGCTGTGGTGGCTTGTACTGCACTGCCGAGGCCCCTGCTACACTTTCCCGCTGCCCAGCTTCATCCAGGAGCCTCCGGAGGCCATGGCCTGTAGCCCAGGGCCTCGTGTAGCCAGCCAAGCCACCACGATAACTTGTGCCGCATTGCTGAAGACCCTGGATCTTCCTGCCACCCAGTCTTGCCCCGAGTTTTCGAGCTGCCACGATTGCTTCCAAGCCATCGCGATCACCCCCCACCCCCTCAAGAGCTTCTAAAAGCCCTTGGAGGTCCTTGCTGGCCAGGCTAGAGCCCATAGGCTCCAGCCTAGCCAGCCTTGTTAAAAGAACCCACTTCCCTCTCACTTCCAGCCTCCAGCAAGCACTTACCTCCTTCAGAGGCCTTCTCCTGATTCCCAAACTTGTCTTTCCTAAACTTTTCGATTCCTAAACTTGTCTTCTGCCTTGCTTGTGCTGCATCCATCTCCTAGGTGAGCAACTGATTCTGCCTCCCTGTTTTCTTCAATTGCCTTTTTTTTCTTATTTAAATCAGGGCAGGGGTCTTCAAACTTGGCAAGTTTTAAGACTTGTAGACTTCAACTCCCAGAATTCCTGAGCTACCATGACTGGAGAAGGGCTTCTGGGAGTTGAAGTCCACAAGTCTTAAATGTCAAATTTGAAGACCCCTGATTCAAAAAAACAGTAAGTGTGTTAATTTTTTTTTCATAAAAAAAAGTCATATAAAATTTGGGAAATTTTAGCTGCTTTTTTATTTTTAGAAAGCAGCTGCTTTGTGAGGTTGTCATTATGTGTATGGAAGTTCTTTTAAATTGTGTGAAATGTTATGTGCCTATAAATTAAAACTATCTTAGATTTTTCCAGCTGTATCTGCTTTGTGAGTGTGTGTGTGTGTGTGTGTGTGTGTGTAGTTTTCAGTTGTGTAGGGAGTATCTGCTTTGTGAGTGTGAGTGTGAGTGTGTGGTTTTCAGTTGTGTAGTTTTGTGGGTCTTGCTGCCAATCCAGTCACGTTACAGTATAATTTTTCTGGACTGGCAGCAGACCCACAAAACTACACAACTGAAAACATACTCCCTACACAGCTGAAAACTACACACACACACTCGCAAAGTAGATACAGCTGGAAAAATCTAAAAAGATAGCTTTAATTTTTAGGCACATAACAACATATCCTAGCATTTTTTTGATGTTCATGCTTGCAGCATTCAGGTCAGGGGGCATTTTACGTGTCCAGCTGCTTGGCAGCAACTTTACTTTCTGAGAAAATTAGTAACTTGTTTTGGGGTATAACACTTCCACCATTATTAAAGTTGGTTTTGACACGTTGAGATTTCTGAGCCTGTTTGATGGGTTTCAAGTGTCCATGCTCTGTTTTTGTTCTTGCTTGGGTCTTTTGTCTTTCCTATCATGGTGGTTAATTCTATCAGGAATCAGTAAATGGGGACCTCCAGGTGATTTACCTTAATAAGGACTGTACTTTAGTGTTGCTTTTTGTTGTCTTGCTTGTTTGCCTGGGGTTTCTTAAAAGGCAGAAGGGCTGAGATTTCTGGTGTGAGGTTTTGCATCCTTGGGGGAACAATCCAGGGTTCTTATTGTAGTGGCTTTGTCTGGGAATTAAGTAAAAAACTGGTTTTTATCTGCAGTATTTTTTTGGGGGGGGGGCGACAGGTATGCTCTCAAAGTTATCTACGCATTAACAATGATCAAATACTAATAATATTCGCTTATCTTTTTTTTACTGAACTTTCCTTATATAATTGGTGTTTCTTTTATACTTTTACATTTCTAACTTCTGTTTCTAGCCATTGATAAAAGAAACCCCATGTTAAAAAGTATTCTAAGCCTTCTTGATTGTAAATTTGTAATTGTTAATTTATTCATTTCTGCACATTCTAATATTTTTCATTCATTTTCATATCTTTGTTTTTCCATCATTGTGCAAAGACAATTCTAGCAGCTGTTAACATGTGTAAAATTAAATATGTATTCTACCCAATAAAATATTTCTGGTTTTTAAATCCATGTTGCTTTACCATTGTTTTAACCATGACACCACTAACCTAAACACTGAACCTAATTCATATAATCAGTGAACTGACTGAGGAATAAATTTTAGAAAAAGAAATCAGTATTGCTCTGTGGATGTACCTATGAAATTCATTCTTATTGATCTAGCTTCTTAGATGATGTTGGAAGAATTATCCTTCTGGGTTCAGTTCTGGGGAAGAAACACTCTGGAAACTTGGTGACTGTTTGTAAAGATGGTTTAATGGTGGACAGGATCACATGCCTTTGAGCTCTTGGGCTGAGAGTTCCTTGGTTTTATGCCCTCTGTTGGGATTTGAATTTGAGCTTGTATTCTGATTGGTTGTCAAATTCCCATGGGCCATGCAGGGGCACCTCTGTAGGCTGTCTTGAGTCCCAGACTTGGTTGAGCCTTGCTGGATGATGATGTAATGAAAGGGCTTTGGGCAATTCCTAATATAGCTCTACCTGGAGTAGATCTTTGTTATGTAAAAGAGACTGGCCTAGCCAGAGTAATGGCCCATTAGCAAAGGGGGGGGGGTGAATTTCTGCCTCTCTTGAGTTGTTACTTTTCTTTTTAGGGGAAATATTCTGCCTTATTAATATATCCTAAAATATTTCATTTTCCTAGGAGAGGGATGGATTTTAACTTCCAACAATGAAAAAATGTATCTTTCTTTGGACCCCATGCTGATAAGACTGTACATTGTTGGGTGAAAAAAGAGATCCCTTCTGTTACCTTAGTCCTCAGCTTACAGCCACAATCAAGTCCAATCAAAGCACAATATTGTTTTATGTCTTTTGCAGTAGTAGCTGATAGGCAAGGATGAAGTCAGTGACATCGCCCACCCAGTAACATGACCTTCACGCCACACCCACCCAGTCACATGTCCACCAGGCCATACCCACCAAGTCACATGACCAAGCCACACCCACCAAATAAGCCACACCCAGTCACATGACCCCTAGGCCACACCCACAAAATAGGCCATGCCCACAGAACCAAAAGTAAAAAAATTTTGAATCCTACCACTGCATAGCATGTTTATCCTATTCTGTCTTCGGCCCTTAATGTTTAATTGACTAATTAACCTCCATATTAAATGTCTGTCTATGACTTTGTGGGCAATGCTTTCCTATACCATTGTTTGTTCTACATTCTGCTGAACCTCCTTTTGAGTCTTCCAAATAACTGTGATTCACTTCCCTTTATACAGTCCTCTTCCTTAACATCTGATTTAAATTATTTTTAAATGGTTTATGTAGAAGCCAGGGGGACATAGGCGACAGGAAACAGCCTAGAATCTCTATGATGTTACAAGCAGACTAAGTTCAACCCGCCTTGAATTCATTAACCCTTATTTAATGCTAAAATAGTGCTAACCATTAGTTGACTAGTTTCCTGTACAGAGGACAGAGCACATGAGCAATAAATCAGTTTAACTGGAATTTAACATGTGGCTCTAGTTTTTCATGCCTGACAGTTTGACATTATAAGGCTTTGTGATGTTACTTGTACTAGTTTCAGATACAGTTATAATTTAGATCAATGTATCCTGTTGTTTTCAAGATATTAAAACATTAACTTCTTGAAGGTATTTTTTTAATTTGTCAAAAAATAATAAGAAAAACAGCAGGATTTCTAATCTTTAAACATTATGTTATTAGTTTTATCACATTAAGTTGATTAATTTTGAATTGGGTTTTCACAACAAAATTCATTGGTCTCATGCTAAACCATTAATTCATAAGCTAATGATTCATTATCATTGGATTGTCTAATCTATGAGCCATAAATTTACAAAGAAATGTTTTCACTGCAGCTGACCAATAGTTAAGGCTCATAAACTAGCCTAGATATTTGAGGTCTAAAAGCCACATAGAGAAAGTAATTGGTAATTTCAGAGAGTAGGATTATAGCAAAGAAATTGAAAGAGAGAAAAATATGCCGTAATAAGATGGAACAATTGAAACAGAATAAAGTTACAAGTGATTATTTCAGGCTCCTAGAAAGAAAGCAGGAAAAATAAAACTATAGATGGATACTTGAAATGATTGGAGGGAAGAAGAGAAATATCCTGTAAGTTATACTTCAACTCTATTATCAACTCAAGGAAGAAACAGCAGGGATGAATAGAGCAACTGGAAATCTTTGTGCCATTAAAGCTCTGATTAGCTATTTCTCTTCTGGTAACCCTGAGCTCTTTGTCATCTTTGCCTCAGTATAATATATACGCTATAGCATTTTCTTCACCAAAAATATGATATATATACTTTGCAATTCCAAAACACCATTGTGATAAAGCTAGTGTAAAAGTAGAAAGACTGAGTGAAGCATTCAATAGGTCTTATGCTAAAGATTTGTTTCCTTTAAGATAATTTTAAGATGTGGTCTTCATTACACCCTAAATATGCATTTATTATTGGGGAAAGCTTTTAAATAATTGTCATGGATTAAATGTTTCCCTTAATAAGTACATGTCAATTATTTCAGTCAACAACACTAGTCAATCAAGCTTTAAATTAGCTTTACTTATGTAGTAAATTTTAATAACGTGTCATAACAAACTTTAATTTTCATGCAAAAAAGTTATATAATGTCCATGAAGTTATTTCAAAACAATAAAAGTACACAAAATTATTTTAATAATTTCTACAATAATTCCAACAGAATATTCAAAAGACTATAGACTATAGATTACAAATCATTTAATAAATATTTTCTTGCTAAACTACACCCATACACTTTAAAGTAAATGGTCTTCATGGATTGGTTCCAATAATTTCAAAATACAACAGGTAAATCACAAAACACAACTTAGAACTTTAATTAACACTATAACATGGAAGACTTCTGCAGAATAACAGTAGATTATTTTATTTACCACCTGTTACCTGCATCTATATCTGCATCTTATTATACACTATAAAGTGTTATGTACTCTCCCATTTTCTTTATCCGGCAATGTAGATTCGCTTATGTCAAAAGTTAGTAGTTACAGGAACCAAAAGATGAGTGGTTTCTTGGTTTAAACATTCTTCCAAGATGGTATCGACATGTTCCAGATTATTTATAACAAGATGCTGAAACAACAGATGGCAAACATGCATTGCTATTATAGTAACAGCTCCAGAGAGAATTAACCTAAATAGCCCCTTTGGCTAAAACTGTGTATCACAGGCAACTGTCATATGCAATGGTTTTCTTAGAATGGGAAATTTAAAAAGAAAAAGTCACTGGAAAAAATAACTTCTATTCAAACATTTGGTTATGCATAATGTATGCTTGCTCTATCCCCAACGTGTGATAACTTCTGGGTTCTATCCCAATCTTGTAATGCTAGATATGAACATTCATCTGGATCTGAATTTTCATTAATAGGGGAAAGGGGATAGCTTCATCAGTTGTTCCAACTATGTAGACAGAACCAACAGAGTGGGACAGCACATCCATTGTTATAATTGATTGCATATTTTATTCACCCTTAAATAAGGCTAATCTCCATCAGAAAAATAGCAGCCAGGGGGATTATTTTCATCTTCAACTGCTCTCCTGTTTTGCAAATCATTATTTTCTTTTCTGAATGGCTTTTTAGTATTTTGGTCTATATTTGGAGACTTGTATATTAAGACCTGTATGTACTGATGTATTGTATATTATTTATATTGGAAATTATATAATTTTATACCTTATTACTATTATTTTATTTAAAAAAAATAATATATTAAAACAATAATTTATTGTACAATATCTGTTATTTCCGTGAAACAACGATGACGCTTTAAAGCAAACTTATCTAAGACTGACTCACCTGTAATAAAAATTCTAATAGAATCAATAGTAATATTCAAATTAAAAGAATTGAATAATCTAAGATTCCATTTTATTTTGTTACGCTGTTATATACAAATTATTTAAGTAAGAATTTTAAGGATCAGCTTGTCTAGTGTTTTAAAAATCACTCTATGTATCAACTAATGCATAAAGGTAGACATTAGAAGTATCTGCCAATAATGTAATTTTGGTTAATCATTTAAGTTTTAATTTATATCTCATTGGTTAAATTAACCTATCTGGCTGATCAGGGAAAAGACATTCCTTACGTTAATATTTCAATGGAAACAGAATTTGCCAAATAAATGGCATCTTTAATATTTTCATTTTCCATTGCTTATAATTCTAAAAACATAAATAGCCCATAAATCTTTTAAAAAACGTTTCCTTAGCTTCCTACAAACCTCATTTGGATTGCAGCTCTATTGGAAATATTGAAACAAACCATATTTTCTGTGATGTAGAATGATAATATAACTTATAAAGAAATATTACTTTTGCAGAAATAAATGTAGTTTAATTGCATATAATATTGCAATTGAATAATAGCACTTACGGGATTCATTCTTGATAGCAATAGGGCTATTTTTCTCCGAAGATGTTCAAGCTTTTTTTGCGTTGCTTTTATTTGCTCTTTGCGTAGATAAATTTGTCTTTCAATGGCATAGACTTTCTGAAAGCAATGTTCTTCTTGACGCTTGAGTTTTTTGGAAAGTTGTCTTTCATACTGTGAGAAATACTGAAATATATGCTTATATGTTTGCAATTTACTACAAATTTTAAGCAAAATTTTTCATTCTACTGTGCAATGTTCTGCTATCTATTAAGGAAACTATCCTCCTCCTTTTAAACAGTTGCTCAACTTGTCTATGGAAGGAGTTCTCCATAGCATAATATCCAAGAAAGACATTGTAATCCCCCAAAAACAACCGTATACACATTTCAACTATGAAGCTGGCCATTGGAAGGAACCACAGATTGCTCATACAGCTAAGAATTCTCAAATAGAAGGATTAGGAAATAAGCCTAAAACTTTGAATAGTGCAGTGAAAAGGCTGGTTGCAGTTCTACTTTTAAATGAGTATAGGTGTTCATAAACTCTAAGGCTAATGCCCTTACGTCAAAAAATCCCCAAATGTCTTGTATGGTTCTTATTAAATTAGTATTTCATAGAGTGAAGAGGAAAAATTATTAAAAATTCTAATTTTCTGAGATTGTGGATTTGGGGTTTTCATGAGCTGTAAGCCATAACCATCACAATTATGACAAATCATGGCTTGAACTATCTTGCTTTGCATGTAGTGAGTCTATCTCATATATTAGTTTCACCTTTTAAGTTGCATTACTGAAATAAATGAACTTTTGCATGATATTCTAATTTTTCAAGTTTCACCTGTATAATGAGGGCTATTCTTTTTGTATCAATTAAGCATACTATGAAGCAACACAACCTCATGAATTGTATTTCACTGTTATTTTTTTCAAGAATATATCTATTACCAATGATGAAAATCAGTTCAGAAAATATTTGTCATATTTTATGTTTTACCTGATCAATGGATAAAATGACAGTCTTATTGTGATCCCGATGTCTTTTAAACTATTTTTATAAAAAACAAAAAGAAAAATAAGTATATAAGAAATGTTATCACATAGCTTAATCAGACAAAAAATCAAACTACAGTGACTTTAATCACATATTTTTGCCTTTCAAAAGTAGAAATATTTCAGAAAGAATCAAATTCATATTAGAACTTAATATAGAATGGTTGGTCTAGTGAGTAAGGTATAAGACTAAGAGCTGGGAGACGAAAGTTCTTATCTTGCAATATCCACAAAAGCCAGCTGATTGTTTGGCATACCTAGAGATAATGGTAAATCACTTCTAAAAATATTTTAATCACCAGGAATCAAAACTTACTCAAAGTCACCAAAACACATACAAACAAAGGAAAGATCTAAAAATGCCTTAAAGGCTCCTTAAGCAAACATGGAATGGAAATAATAAAAATAAATGAAACAAAAGTGGGCTTCAAATACTAAAGTTATATACATTTCGATTCCAATCTGAGATCATATCTCCAAGCCTGCAATTTGCATTGTCAAGAAGATCCTAGGTATGGTGGGGTACTTAAGATAAGCAGAAAGACAGCTGGAGAATGATATTGGATTGGCTATTAAAGTAATACAAAATAAAAGTTAGTATGATAATCTGAATTTACTTAAGAAGCCTTGTCTATTTTTTAAAATATAAAATCAAGATTTGCTTATTGTATAAAAAAGAGAAAACAGTATTTCTGCAAAAAGCAAGCAACATGGATTTTCAATGGCCATGCAACTAAGATTTGCATTTATTTACTGATTTAAATGTAATAAATTGTAATAAATACACAAGGAGACTTAGAAAAATTTGAAAATTACAATAAAATCAATTATCTTGTTTTACTTACTTGTATTAGATCTTTATACTTTTTAATAGTTTTATAACCCATACTGAGTATAGTGAATTTGTGACACACATTTTTACAAACAAAACAGTTTAGCATGGTTAATCGCTCAATTTGAAGAAACAAATACACTATGGAAAATAAATTCTGTATGCAACTATTTATGCCCACTAAGCTACCAGATGCCAATGGAAATTTGCAAGGCAGACTAAGGAAGAATCCGTATTTCCCTTCTAAGGTAAGAGTCCATTTTGGAGGGCCTAAGAAGGGAAGAACTATAAGCCTTCCTTATGTTGGTGCCTTTAGAAACAAAAATGAAGATGAAGAAATCTGCAGTTGTGACATGCAATACCTGTAGCAGGTTTGTTTTTTTGCCTAAGAACCTGGCATACATTTGCAGAATCTACAAACTTTGTAGCAGTCCTTGAAGAATATGTGACAGGATAGAGTAGAGGGACTATGCTTTGAGTGTAACCAACCTAATGAGAGAATGATTAGTTCAGGCAAAGCATAAACTATTACAGCATAAACTCATAGTGAAAAAAAGGAGCTGAATAAATAAGGAAGCCCAGAGATTGGAAGCAAGAGATACAGATGATATTCTGCAGTACTTAGTATTCAGAAACAATTTTCAGATTCTCTTAGGCTCTCAGAAGGAGAAACAGAAGCAAAACAGGACAGCAAATATCTCAGTAAAGGAGTTGTGATAGTGAATTTAAAACTGAAACAAGCATATCTGAAGCATAGTCAATTTGATTAGGGTTAGCAGGACTTAAATGAATGACTAGTTATGGACATGGTAGTCCATAACAGACTCTGAGAGTCTGTTTCTGAGATAAATGTTTGAGTTTCCTGGTAACTTCATGGACTGGAGATGAAAACTCTGAAGTAAGAATTTTAGATAAAGGCTTAAGTGCTAGAGAAAAAAGTGGAATTGGAAATAGTGACTATTTAAACATTCAATTAAAAATAAGAAAGAAAATTGTGTCATAATGATTAGGGCATTTGTTGGCTATGCATTAACTCTCAGAATACAGAACAAGATTAGTTTGAACTCTTAAGACAAGAAAGTGAATATGATTTTCTAGGTATAATAGAAACTTGGTGCCGTATCAGTGAAATACAGCAGCTGAAGGACATTTGCTTGAAAGAGGTAGAAGCAATAGGAGAGGAGGTTTTGAACTATATATGCTAAAAGTATTTATTGTTAATTCAGAATGAATGAATGAGGCAGTGCTGTAAACAACATTTGGATAAAAATGAGGACATATAAAACTATTGCTGATGTTTACTTTTAGCTGCTTAATGAAAGTAAAGGTACATATGGTGTATCTTCCAATAGCAAATTATAAATTTTCAAAGAAAAAAAAGGGGAAGTTATAGCTACAATCCAGTCTGCATCAGGTCCCTGAACATTCAGTTTGCACTGTCCAAAACAGTCTTATTCATTACAGCAATGAACTATAACTAATTACATTCAAAACTGAAGTATACTGGTGTTTCCCTCACTGGTCTTGCTGACAACTTTCTCTTTTGGAAGGCTGAGGAAGGCACAAAATATCTAGTATCTTTCACACGATGCTCATTAGAATGGAAGAGTTAACTGAAGAAGTGGAGTAGCAGGAACACCAGTGGAAATGGCCATGTAATGCTAGCAAAGGCAACTAGTACGAAAATAAAGTCGATTGGTGGAAATGCTTAAAAAAGGAGAAATTAAAAGCATAATTCCAATGAGAAAAAATGAGGGCTAGACAAAGTCTATATAAAAAGCTCATTGAATATATAAAAATTATGGGTCATGGCTAGAGTTCTTCACTGGCATCTCATCAAACTAGACAGAATATTAAATAGAGTCCAATACTTGGTGACATGTTCTTCAATATTTCTATTAAGGACTTGGATGAAAAGATAGCACATGCCTTACCCAATGAGTAATTGGTTCCAAACTTGTTGGGATATCTTAATACAGATTGTCCTTGCGTTACAATGGCAATTGGGACCAGCATTGTTATCAGCAAGCAATGTTGTTATAAAGCGTGGCATCACATGACCACATGACTTAGTGAGGACAATACTGGCAGTCCCAGTTTTCACTGCAACCCTATGATGTGTGGGTCATTAAGCCAAAGTTCTGGCAATGTCAATTGCTGCCATTGAGTGAATCCCATGTTGTCATCAGGTAAGAACAAACCCAGATCCAAACCATTCTTGTAAAAATGTAAGGGACTGTCTACTTCATCTATACCCATCTATTTCCACATCTCTGTCCTTTTGGCCTACTTTTGCACACTGACCAGGTCCTTCTGCTTTCATGCAATATGTGCTTCTAGATAGGGGTTTTCTTTTGTGCCAACAGTCAGGCCTTCTATTTTATATCAGCCAGGTCGTCCTTTCACACATGGAGGCCCTAGCCAATATATAGAGACCCTGGCCAGCTCATCACCAACTGTGCAACTGCAAAAGGCAGTGTGAATGAAGGCCCCAGTTGATACAGTAGTGGGAAGAGCAGCCAGTGGCAGCAAATAGGCAGATGGCAAAAATTGTTTATCAATGTCTGAATTTTGTTCATATGTCTACAGTGATGTTGCAATAGAACTTCAAGGTTGTAAGTCCCTTCATTCAGCACCATCATTTGAATGGTTGCTGAATAAATGACATTGAGTGAGGCTGCCAGTAAATATATGATATTGGTACGTATGTGTTGACACATTTATTTTAATGTAATTTAAATGTTCACTCACGTTGAACATAGATAAAACATCTTCCGGGCACATGGATGTAATATGGTCTCTTGATTTATCACATTCAGGTAAAAAATAGAGCAGTATTTCTCTGGAAAAAAAAATAAAGCATTGCAGTAAAATAAACAGCCACACATACCAGTCAGTACATGGTTCTAGAAACTCCATGAAGGAGAAAACCTTTTCATGCACTTTTTAAAAGGGAAAATATATACCGTATTTCTCACAAAATAAGACCAGGCCTTTTTTTTTTTTTTTTGATCCCCCAAAACACGGCTAGGCCGTCTTTTCGGGGGGGTGACTTAATTCCCCCCCCTTGCATCCTCGGGCGGGCGGCGACGGCTTGGATGTTGACCTCGGTGTTGGTGGGGCACTTCATATCAGGAAACCTTCCGCCACCATTGCTTTCCCTTCTCCCTGTGCTGCTGTGGCGTTTAGAGCAACGCCGTCACATTTGGCACAGCCATGTGTGGCCAGCCAGGGCTCCTCCTTGCAACCGGAGCCCAGTGGAGACACTCGGCTTCACGCGCTCCTGTTGCTGCCTTCCCTTTGCCTTCGAAGGCAAAGGGAAGGCAGCGACAGGAGCGCCTGAAGCCAAGCGTCTCCGCTGGGCTCAGGTTGCAGGGCGGAGCCCTGGCTGGCTGTGCATGGCTGCGCCAAATGCCACGGCATTGCTTTAAACACCGCGGCAGCATGGGGAGAAGGGAAAGCAACGGCGGAAGGTCTCCCGATACGAAGTGCCCCACCAATGCTACGGTCAATGCAGGCAGTACCATATCCGGGTATGAAACAAAAGTACTTCCTAACGGCCAGCCCCCACACCATTCCCCCCATTTCGCATGTTTAATATAGGCCTTAATTTGGGGGAGGGGCTTAATTTGATTTTATGCCTATAAAGCATGCTGGGACTTCCTATTGGGGGAGGCCATATTGTTGGAGGAACACGGTATCTACATACCTTCTTCTTTCTAGTGGTAAAAATGGTATTCTGAGGAACTTAGAATCCAGACTTAATACCATTTATTCTAACTTACGACAGTCTATTTTATGCAACTGATAAAATAAAAACATTCACAAATGATGATATTGTATGTATACTGTAAATGGTGACTGACAACCAATCAGAATACACGGTCAAATTCAAATCTCAACAGAGGGTATAAAACCAGGCACCCTCAGCATCTCAGCCCTTCCTTCTTCTTGACCTTCTGTCTTTGGAGCTCCAAGTCATGTGGTCCTGTCCACCATTAAACCATCTTTCCAAACAGCCTCTATGTTTCCAGTGTCTTTTTCCCACTTGGAAGTGAACCCAGAAGGATAATTCTTCCAACAATACCATGCAAATCTGTTAGCCTTAAAGAGCCACGGGGTCCTTTATTGAAACCTGGATGATGTACAGCCACTATATATTTTACCAGAGTTTAGACATTCCTGCATTTAACTGAAATTATTGCCATTTTTACAACATTCCAATCCTTAAAACTACACTTCCGTGAACCAACACATTAAAGCAACAATGAATTGCTTTTAAAAATCCATTTAACCAAATTGTTTTCTTACTTAAAGAGTAAAAAGAAAAAAGAAAAGGAATTTCTGAGTTTCTATTCCTATCCCAAAGGAGTTCTGTGTGGTAATTAGCACTTCTGGGAGCAATTAGAAGCTCAGGAGTATTTTTCTCCTAGGAGGAAAATGAATAAACTCTTCATACTTCATTGTGACTGGCTGTATCATAACACAGTGATTCCCCATTTGTATGATAGGTCCAAAATAGAGTGGCTAATGCAACAGAGTTTAACAAAAAAGTACAATTGTAATTTTTAAAAAACATGTTCAAATTATATCTGTCTGAAAATTTAATTCTTTTGATTACTTACTCAGTAAAATACAAAGGTACAATACCTCCTCCCACTCCCATTTTAATTGTGGCTCTTACTGAAATAGTCCTTGGAGAATTTTATATAGGGTATTCTTCAATACTGATTCCACAGAATGCAACTATACTTTAAATGGCCATTTCAACTGGTGTGAAATTCAGCCTGCACGATTTACAAGGACACACACTGAGTAAAGTAAATACACATAAAACATACATTTTATAAACTTGAGTTTTTATGACTACTCACTTGATACGAGATGTTAATGTTTGAATCATTTTGGCTTTAGTGATGCTCTGGGAATTTTTAGTTAGATGTGAAACTTCAACTGACTTCTCTTCCACAACAAAGACTTGATCTGTGTCTTCTTTGATAGCTTCTGTGGATCTACTAAATAGAAACACCTTAGGCATTCATTATTACATTACACCCAATGAAAGCAGATAACCAACATATTGAAAACCCAATATTAAATTCTAATTAAAAGGATCAGATGTGCACTTTAAAACCATCTCTATTTAATATTCTAGACAGCTCCTGTTATTCAATGAACACTAAACCAAATTAACAAATAATCTGATTGGGCTTAAGTTGCTATATTTATCTCAGTAGGATACTAGGCCTTAGAACAAGCCCTGCAATATTATTTAAATTTCTGAGAACTCTGTGAAGATTGTTAGGTCACTTGGATTGGCATTGTGTCGACTGTTCAAGATTTCTCAGTGAGCTTTACAACTGCAATTTACAAATCCAGATCATTTTCTCAATCTGTTTACATTTTAATGATTAATATTTCTTGTCTATTGGATGCCAGGTAAATCACACAAAAAAATAGTTCTCTATAAAATCAAGTGGGCATAATAGAAGTTTTCAATCTTTTAGGTACTACTATTACTAAAAAAAACAACAAAGAAAAATCTATATTTTATTGGGCCTCTTATATCCATGATTGAATTTTTCATTACTTTCAGGCAAGCAATAATGAAGATCAGGGGGTCTCAACCTAAAACCTTCAGAGCTTTTCAAAACTGGCTGAAAAATTGTAAGGTAGTGGAAGATAATTTTAAAAATGCCTATATATTAACTATATTCAATAACATGCTATAATTAAAATTCAACTTAAAATAAAACGAAAAGTAGGTTTTTGTTCTGTTTTATCCACTCTTTCTTTTCTTGATCTGACCCATTTTGGGGGGAGTATGGCGTCTAGCATATAAAAGCTATACTCTATGACTTTTTAAATAAAAAACCCCAAAAATATATCATAAGAGAGGCTAAATCAAATCAAATCAAAATTGGAATTAAAATTATTGGGAGAAAAAAATGACTTCATTTATGGTGATGAAATTACTTTTTTGGCTGGAAGTGAGGAAGACTTAAGGAATCATTTATTGAAATTACAAGAACATATGCTCCCACGTGCAAAACTGGTTCTCAATAATAATAGTAAAAAACAAACAAACCAAAATCCAAGGTCACATTTAATGTCAGACCAGAGCAAGTAAGTAGTTTTTATTATTTTATTATATATTTTAATCGCACATTTATTCCTTTTATAAATAACTCGTGATGGCAAACATACCTAGTACCCTTTCTTCCTTCTACTTCCCCCCACAACTATAACCCTGTGATTTGGGCTGACAAAGAGTGATTAGCCCAAAGTAACTAATTTTATCTTCCTAGACTCAAAAATTCATAGATATCTTGACTGCAGCCATCAGGAGAGATATTTACTGCTTGGGAGAAAGTAAAACTAGACTTCACTAGCAGTATTAATAATGAAGTATTAATAGCGAAGCATTAATTAATGAAGTATTAATTAATGAAGCATTAATTAATTAAGCATTAATATAGCTTAGAGGTTTCTGATACATCTTCAGAAAAGATTCTCTCAATTCACATTTGTCTTTTTGGAGTTATATATATCTTCTTAAGTTTTCTATAATAAGACTTACTGGAGAAGACAAAGATGCTTGGCCAATACAAATGCAATAAAAAAGAAGGTGGATAAATATACTAATGAGAGAACTCCTAAGAATTCAAAGAAATTATTACAATGAATCACTCTAGCAAAATGATATCCACTGGGCAACAAAGATTTGGAAATAATTGAATTACAATGAGTAACTTGTTGCCATAGGTCTCCTGGAAAAGTGGGAGTGCTTATCCTTTCTATTCTATTATCCCTTTTTGTTTTTTTAGGAGGAAGAGATGATCAAATGTATATAGCAAATTTATTCTTAGGACGTGGGAGCAGCCATAACATTCATGCATGACTTCCAAAGAAATTGCTTATGAACATGCATGGTTAGTGATGCTTTCAACAAATAAAACTGAAATCTGGCTTTAACTGCACTGAGAATTAACATGCATGACAAAACTTCAACAGTTTTTAAAATAATTTAATATGAATACTAGTTTATTATATGTTTATATCTAATTTTTAAAATTAATCACAATTCTAATTAATAATTATGACTTTTCTTTGCAATAGCATTTGCTTTGTACAAACAGAAATAACAATGGAAAAATCTGCTTGAATCCTTATATTTCAAAGTATGTTTACCTCTGTTCTAGCAGAATTAATATTAATTTGATCGATGCTTTTCTAATAGACACGTATATGATACTGTATGTATTTACTAATGTTAAGCAAATTAATTATTTTAGCCATGTTTATTATATACAACTAAAACAATACCTTCACTTTGTTGTCATTAAAAATATTGCAATGTTATATAAAGTATGTATTTCACTTATTCATTAATTTCATATCCTGCCTTTCCCCTAGCATTTTGAATTACATACATTGCACTGCATTCTCCCTTTGCCCCCCAAAAAACATTTCCCTCTATTCACTAGATTGGGCTGAGTAACCCAATCAAAGCCATGTAGCGCAGTTCTGTGGCCGAATTGGACTTGATTGATTCTCCTGAATCCTAGGCTAACATTAAACACTGCTAATAGCAGAAATGCAGAATTTGTCTACCAAATGTTCCAGTACACTCACCTTTTTGAGTTTGCTGATAGCTTAAACTTTGTTTTAGATTTCCCATGCTTGTTTAAACCAAGGAAACTGTCAGATGTTTCTTCACACTGTTCCTGTTTTTCTTCACGTGGTTTAAACATTTAAGACAATAATAAACAAAGTTATTAATCAATGGATTTAACCAGATGGGTAGGATAAGAAAACTGAAGAACTTCCTGGAAGCTGGGGGTTTGGAAAAAATGAGTGGAAAATATAGTTAATGTGTTAATTGGTTATATTAGCTGATAAATGGTCCAAGAATTTGAACTTGGTCATGGCTTGACTAATATGAGCTCATTATGATTTCCAATTATTTAGAACATGAAAAGTCTCATGTGGAAGTTCACATTTTGAAAGAGGTTCCATAATACAATTATGTATTGTATTATGTACAAAAATGTGCAAAAAATTTTTCCATTAAATATTACACTATGAGAATAGTATCTAACTGCTGTTGTCTAACTGCTGCAGGGCAGAGATTAGATATGTCTTTCATTCCTGATCACTCAGCATTATTGGATAGCAAGAAAAACTTTTCCTTCCTCCTTTAATACCATATAGCAATACTATTTAAGATGAATGCACATCATATAAGAATATGCCTATAATATCATCTATATTATAACTGTGGTTGCCATCCACAATACAGGCATAAAGAGTTCTTTGCAGTTCATTTAGAAAACACATTCTAATGGCCATTTTGATGATTTGATTATACAGTATCCTAGTACATCAATTCTTTTTACCTTTTACTCAGAGAGTATATATTAGCAGTTGAACAAAAAAGTGAAAATTCCCAAGTTATGCAATGTTTCATCCAATAATCTCTCTCCCCCCGTTAGTGTATTTGAAATGTAAAACAACATCTGGAGGTAAAGATTGTTAGCTTTAATTCACATGCAAGAAATTCAGAATTCAACATCAACATTACCTTTTTTCATTAAAACACACCCTGCAAACAATTCATCCTTTGGCAGATCTTCAGTTTCACTATCAGATGATGTAATCTGCAGTAAAACACTTTGCTTGAAAGAAAGAAGTAGCATGCAACTCCTAAATAATTAACTTTAACTTAAAATGTATTATTCACACACCTTGATTTTTCTTTTTATTATTCACACGCTTTAATTTTTGCATTGGAGGAATAACTATATATTTCCTTATTTATTCTCTTGGAAACTATAGGTTAGAAATAACCATTTGCTCCATTTATAAAAGCAAGTAAGAGGTGAGATATTTGCTATCCTATGTGCTCCCCCTTCCCCCATGCAAGGAACTTTTTCGCTTGTAGGCCATCAGTTATTAAGAAGTATTTAAAAAAAATGAATTTTCCTCCTAATTTGATACTAGGCAATAAAGAATTGTAACTCTTTCTTCAAGGTTCCCTGGGTAGTATGTAGTACACCCAGGAAAACAACAAAGATTTACTATCACATTTACATTTCAAACGGACTCTGAGAATGCAAACAACATTTATTTTAATCTCTGGCTATTATGCATTTTATGATGCAAATGATTCTTAAGTTATTCTAAAATGTTTGTTTTGCATTATTTTCTGGAAGCCATTAGTTTTCTTTTTCATAATGCTACTTAACATCAGTCTCCAAAGTGACTGTAAAATTGTAGCTTAAAATGCTAATTTCCCCCCCCCCCCAGTTAGACTAGTTAGCGTAAGTGCAGAAATATAATTAACTGACAATGGTTAATTCTTTTAAGCATGTGCTAATTACACCAGTGTAATTGTTTAGGGACTGTCTTTTTCTCCATTAGAGACAGAATATACAGTATTTCTGATAAACATTCAAGAGAGATGAGTCTTAAGTAATAAAAATAAAGAAGATTTTAAAACAGAATTTTAGTAAGTTGGATGTACCCAACTGAGTAACATTATGCTATATTATCTGTAATGAAAGCTTCTTTTGTTGCAAGGATATAATAAAGAAAGACACATGAATGAGATGTTTACTTCCCAGTATGTTAAATAAATATTTTAGTAGTAACAATCACAAGAAGAATGTTATAACAATTGGAAGTATCTAGCCAGTTACGGATGATCTCTTGTCTCCTTCCCCAGAAGCGGGGTGGGACCTTGTTGGACCTTGTCAGTTCTCTAGTGAGGAAAGAGGAAATTCAAGGGTTCACTCTGGAATGTGAACAACAAACATCCAGAGGAAGACAATAGTATGCAACTTCTGTATACAAGAAAACCATATGGGTGAGTCCATAGTTACCAAAATCAAGCTTAATTTGAGTCTTCATTTATTTGTCAGTGTGTCAAAGTTTACTGCGGCTAAATACCAGTATAGAATAAGGTAATCAACAACTATTTAAAAACAAAAGAGGACAAAATATAGAACACAGGCTAAAGGAAAAATACACAATAATATAACACCTGATTAATAATCTCAAATCCAAAAAATGACCTTTTAACTGCTCAAATTATTCACAACACAAAGTGCTATATTCCAGTCTTAGCTTTCCTGTTCTTTTTGCTATTTAGTTTTTTGCAACTATTCCACTGCATTCTGGTCTCATGTTATTCAAGCTCAACATAACTCCAGTGGTCTGTCAGAACACTTCTGTTTTTTTTCCAGCACAGCTAGCACACAGACATATATCCCAGTGCTACTTTATATGGATGATAGTCATTCTGTCTGAGACTGGTCTAGGCAAAATTACTCACCACCCAATGTAATTGTATGGGGTCAGACTGAGGAAAAGCAAAGCAAAACAAACAGGCTCTTACATAAATGATTTCTGGCTTGTTCTCTGTTTCAATTTTCAATTCAGGCTCTTCATAACACCAACTTTCAAAATGTACTGAAGATAGTATCTGTATGAGAATTATTTAATAATAATTAATGAAAACTGAAAGGCTAAGTATTGGAGAACTGCCAATACTGCCTTGTTCAAATTATTCACCAATTTAAATCAATTATAAACACTAAATAAGCAACTTTAACATTTATGAAATCTTCATAAGCTAATCTTTTAGGACATAAATGCCCTAAATTGTAGTCAATTTCTTCCACATTCTTCTTTTGTTTAACTACCTGTCTTACTTGATTTAAAATTAGTAATTTTGTGATTTATTATGCAAATAATAAGATAATCCAATAAAAGTATGTTCTCAAATGAGCTTTGAATTTACCAACAACCCCCCACCCCCCATCCTAGGCTTCTTATGTCATTACAGCTGTTTACCCATTTTTAAAACTGTAAACAGTACAATGCGGTAGCACAAAAACTATTTGGACATATGATGTTGTCTAATGCAACCTGCCCAACCTAATAATTCCCACATAGGTGGGACAGAATCATGATGGCACAAGATTAGGATAATCAGGCTACCTATTACCAAAGCTAAGTAGATGCATGTTTGCAACTGTACAATGCACAGTATGAACAGGCATTCTTTTAATAATTATATTATAATTATTATTTAAATTATATTATAATTATAATTAACTATAAGACCCAGCAAAGGTAGTCTGAGAGTGAGATGGAAAGCAAGGAGAGAAGGAAAGAGATATGGAGAGAGAAAGGAAGGAGGAACGTGGAAAGGAAAAACAAGAATAGGATCGACTCAATTCACAGTCTTTGAATCCTGAGAGGAAGGCAAGATGTGCAACATCTGAAATGCCTATACCTCTCCATCGCTCACTTCCCATAAGCCACCAGTCTGAAGACTTTACCAGTCTGAAGTTTTAAAAGGTTATTTTAAAATACCGTTTATTGAAATAAGATCAGATAGCTTTATGTTCCATATGAACACCTATTAGACTGGATATAGAATGTGAATTAACTGCACTGAAAAAAGCATTAGATGCATTATTATGTATGTGATTTGTAGCTAACTTGCAAGTAAGTGTATAAAGAAATATATGTATCTATACATCTGTGCAAGCATCCCAAGATGTGACTTCATTCTAACATTCTCTCTCCCTATTAAATGTCTTATGCCCTGCCCTTCTCTGTGGATAAGTCTATTTCCCATCTGAAACCTCTGAAATAGTAATTTTATTTAAAAATTACAATGAAAAAAAGATAATAGTACAAATTGAACAAATAAAGGAACAAAATGAAAAAAATAGAACATGCAGAAAAGAATTGAATAGAAATAAAAATAATATAAGTAGTCCTCGACACAGGACTATACTGGAGCTTGCCCATTATGGTCATAAAATGCGTTGGTCATATGTTTTATGTCTGTAGTCTTTTTTGTGACAGTTGTTAAGCAATGCCAAGGTTGTAAGGCAAATGCTACAGTCCATAAAAGAATACTATGGTCATTAAACAAACCATTGGTTCCCCATGAGCATGTTTTTTGTAAGCAAAACCACCATAAAATGTGGTCATGTGATTGTGGGATGATGCAACTGTCATAAATGTGGCCATGTTGCCATGTTCCCAAATAATCTGGGTCATCACTTCCTTTTTTGGGTTAGTTGTAACTTTGAATGACTTGGTATAAACCAAGGACTACCTATGCAGTTTAAAAAAAAAGGTTTCTTTCTCAAATCATTTGATATTACACAAGCAATCTATTTGACAGAATCCCATAATGAAAACAAAACTCACATTGTATTACAACAGAAATGATTAAGCACATGTTAACTATTGTCAGGCTTTTCTTTTCAGCGTTCTGAAATATTATACCTTTGGAGTACTGTGATTCTTTCTATCTGCCACGGAGAATTTTTTTTCATCCTGATAAAACTGACGCCTCCTTTGTGAACAAGTTGCTTGCCTTGCCAATGCTTGCTTTCGATAATTTGACTGTTGCATATGTCCCTTACTTGTATTTTTCGTAGACAGGTGTCTGTAAGCTTGAGATGAATCTTTATAAAAAGTCTTCTGGCAGACATTCTTCCAGACATTTTTTTTTTGAAAACAAGAAAACAACAATCCAATATCACTTTTAAGCCTGGATATGGTTATTCTCCTCCAAACTCTCAATTCTGTCAGTTCCTTAGCTTGCTTCTTGGGGAAAAAAATATGATCCTAAAATTGTATGGTAGTTCTAGAAATCATCCTAAACACCATATCTTGCTGGGTTACTTAAAGCAGGGGTTCCAGCAATCCACCACTGGGCCTTGAGCCATATGGAACTGGGCAGAGGAATTGGCAGGTAAGCACACACCCCCCCCCAGTTGCTTGAGTAGCGCGCAAGCACATGCAATGTCCCCCTCTCTCCCTAATGGTCCGTAAAGCAGGAAAGGCTGGGGAACTCTGATTTAATGTACTGAATAGCCTGAGATTCTATGTTTCTACTGGTTATATTTCCATAAGATGAATGTAATCATTTCTTTTCTATTAATTGCTTGTCTAAGTAGAAATTAGAATATGGGTGTTCTATTGGTTTTTTTTTTTTTTGCTTGATTTACAAATTAGAACTGCAAATGGGGTCTACTCTTGGTTTCTAAATCCCAATTTAACTTTGTAGTCCTGAAAAAAATAAGTTTTCTAACAGATGATTCCTCTTATGTACTTGTGGCTGATGCAGTTTTAGTTAATTAAGGAAATACATTTTCCCATTAAGACATAGTACAGTACATCATTATAACATACCTTAAATATGTAGAAGAGGTCTTGCGCTTTCATATGTACAGTATATTTGCATACGTAAGTGAAGATATCAGTTTTGTTGACTATAGAATATTTGTTGTTTAGGACTGAACTGTGGAATTCTTAGTGTTCTCTGAGCTTAGTTGCTGATATTGACAATATTTTTGAATCCCTGTTGATTTTTTTCCATAGCATGTTTTGTAATTATTTCTACTTTTATCAACCATATAATATTTGACTAAGAAATACTGAAATAGATTTATCAAATGGACTAATATTTTGTACATACTTTTATTTTTGTTTGAATTTTTTTCCTTCTGAATTTAATCTAAATAATGTTTAGATTTTCATTCTCAGCTACAGCTGTTCTGATAATTTTTTTAAAAAAGCATACAGATTTATTTCCATACAAGATTAAACTATGCATTAGATTCAGTTCTGAAGCTCATCTCTGATTTTCATTGATATTAATGACATATGCTCCCAAGAAAGTTATATATAGAATTGCAGTCCAAATTACTCACATCCTTAGCAGGAGTTTTGCTGTCATCTGTATGCTTAGAAAATTTATGTGGTTGAATCAAACGAAATTGCTGTAAAAATGAGACAAAAGATATCTATTTTTACTTTTTATTCTTTCAAACAACTTTATTATGAATGGGGAAACTCAGGGGGAAAAGTCCTATTATTTGCTACCTTGAACATTTACTATGTACAAACACAGAATACAAATCAGTCAATCAAACAATGACATCCCTAGATAATATACAAAAACTTTCGATTCCTAATCTCAATGTAGATAGAATTAGAATTTTAATAATATTACAGTCAGAATATTAGTGATTTTCTGACTGCCACTTTCAAGTATCTTTCAAGGTTCATAGAAAGTGTCTGGAAGTTTGGAATATAGGTTTTCTAACCCTACTATATATTTAGAAAGTCAATGATCAGCTGGAGTAGGAATCACTAAGACTTCTGGACCAATATCCTGACTGTAGCATAATATCTCCTATGTGCCCCTTTGGGGCAAATATTGGGGACTGCTGTTCAAGGAAATTTTTGCTTCCTTCCCTTTATTCAAAATTTCAACTTCCTATTTGCCACAGATCTTCCATTCTATAATTGGCTTTCTGAGACATTTTGAAATGTATTGAAAAAAAGTTATAGGTATTTTTTAATAAAACCAGAATTTATATGAGCAAATCCTTCTACTGAACTTATTTCTACCAAATTTATTATATTTAGTTATACAACAGTCCACACAACTTCTTTCCTATTGAAATAAAAGCTACAAAAACAATGGACATTTACAAAAGCATCCACATTACAAGTATGCAGTTGAACACTTTCTGCCAACTTTCTCCTCCTTTCATTTTAATGCAAATTGATCCATTTCATCTACCTATATAGTTTTCACTTTATGGAAATTTGAGCAAGGCAGTTCTTAATCTATGAGAGACATACATACATGTATTTACATTTGGTCATGCTGGATCATAGGAAGAGAATACGTAGTCTAGTTTTTCTGATTTATTTTTGGGCCAAAAACATCAGGCTGTGAAGTGGGTTAGATCAGCGATTCCCAACCTTTTTGACTTTCCAGACCAGGTGGCGAGGAGAGGGAATGGGTACGTGACAATGGTGAGCAAGCACAAATGGGACACACATGCATGCTCACATGCTCATGCAAGTGGAGCTACACACATACATGCGCTCATCTGCCACTTCTGCAGCCCGGTTACAAACTTGCTAAGGCCTAGTAGGAGAGTGCAGTCCAGGAGTTGGGGATCCCTGGGTCAGATAATTCTTAGATTATCCTGACAAATAATCCTTTCTAGCAATTTGGTGCATTTGGGATGCCACTTCAATTTTGTGTTCAAAATCATCTACCTTCAAAAATACCAACATTTTAATTATTCAAAGCTTGTGTAGGATTCTATATGATTTAATAAAAATGGAATTACTTAATTCTAGCCAGATAAATTCTTGGAACAAAACATATTCATCTCTATGATAATTTATATAATAACTCACCAGGTTTTCCACTTTCCTTTTATTTCTCTGAATGGAATCAATTAATAGCTTTTCTTTGTCATTCACATAATGAGTTGGGTTGAATGTGCCCAAAGGGATTCTGGGCAAATTCTCTGGTATACTGCACCTATCAAATTGCAAGAAAAATACATTATTTATAGAAATAATTATGGTCTCCTCTTTATGTTTCGTCTTGGACCTCCTGGTTTTGCAAATGATAGTCAAATGGCTTTGCACATGGTTTCATGCTACCCATAATAAAAGACTAAACCCTCAGTCACTGAACATGTGCATTCATGTTTAGTTTTTTTAAATGTGTGTGCATATATAGTACTTCATAACAAATAAATGAAAGTACAAGGAAAATATATACTTTATACAGTATTGCATGTAAAATATTTGGTATTAATATTTTGTTGTTCTGACCTAGTGTTCCATGAGCTATGTACAATATGATGCACTTAATATCTTAATGTTGTCCTTCCATGATTTCTAAATGCTCTAGTGTTATTATTAAGCAAATATTACTTAATGTTGTCCTTCCATGATTTCTAAATGCTCTAGTGTTATTATTAAGCAAATATTACTCTATTTTGCTCTTACCTTTTTTATTTAAATATTCAATCAAGAATATTTACTCAATAAAGGTAAATAATTTCCTAATTACAAAGAATAGAAGCTTCTCTGAACACTTGCTCTTCAACAATTTCTATAGTCAATGTTTATAATAGTAATATTCTTTTATCAAAATAACTTGAGGACACATTTTAAGTGGTTTGCTCATTAAGCACTGCTGTTGACTTTAGGAACATGTCTATTATAGACTTAAATAACAGTGTATTATAAACTATTTATAATTAAAACAATCTTGAGAGACATAAAATATAGTTGGAACAAATATAAAAATAATTACCAGTCTGAAGTCTGATGTCAAGCACACTTAATGGAACAGTGCAGAGAAAAGGAACTCTGTTGGTAGTGAAAGAGAGCAGATTTACTGTAATATTACTACTTACTTATTTTCTAGAGAGTTGGGACTTCTTCCACAGTTCCAGATGTCATGAACTTCATTATTTATATCACTATTAAGTGACAAGAGTCTCCATTTGAGGCAAACATCTAATGAATTAACAGAATTAATCCAAAATTAATTATTAAGTTGATTTTACATGGAAGGTTAAACCTCTATAATTTGTTTTATTAGGAACTTAATACCTATATCACAAATCAGAAAATATTACTTAAGATATGGACTTTTCCTTCAGAATAGTACTATTATTATCTGAAATTAGCTTAGAAACATTTGAGTGTATAAAATAGTTTCCTTCAAGTTGAAATCAACACCTGGTAATCACATCTGTGTAGTTTCCCTGAAGTCAACATGGAAGCAGTTTGCCATTGCCCCTTTTTTATCTAGCTTCAGCCTGGGATTTCCATCCAAATATTAATCAAAACCTAAGCTGACTAAATACTATCAAATATGCAATACTACTCAGAACTGAAATACATATTTAAAGAGCATACTTTCCCAGATCTCTGGATTTCACTTAGTCTTTGAATGACATGCCATTGAATGAGTTACCCTCTAATAAAAGTCAGTGGAGAAAAGATCAAAAGAAGTTAGGGCAACCAGAACAAAAACTGCATTCAATTTAAATTTAGATTTTATTAAAAGAAGATTAAAGGTAGATTAAAAGTAGATTAACTAAATACATTTAATATAATTAAGTACTTCCTCACTTAGTAGTGCAATATTTTCTCAGATCTATGGAATAAGCTTAGAAGCAAACTAGTAACCCTAAAGAGAGATACTGTATAACATGTGTTATTCTTGAGACACACGTAACTACTTATGCAATTTGTATTTGGCATCATCTGAACTTTTCAAAAATTCTTCAAAACAGCTCCATGTAGAGAACATTAGAATAGTCTAATTGGGAGGTGGCTAGGTAACTTTGAGCCTTCCAATCGAGGAATGGATGCAACTGGTACACAATGTGAGATTGTGTAAAGGCTGTTCTAATCACAACTGCCACTTGCTCTTTGAAAAGGAGATGAGAGTACAGGAGGATCCAGGTTGTGTAGAGTGTCCATTTGGAACTGCACAACCCCCATCTATCACCAACAATGACATATTCCTAGAACGGACAAGTCCCCAAATCTAAAGACAATCAGTCTTGCCAGGATTTATTTGAATCCCATTGTTTTTTATCCAGACCCTCATGGACTCCAGGCTCTGAGATGATGTCTATGATATTTTGCCAATGGAACAAATATGTAATTGGATACCATCAGCAAACTGACAATACCTTATCCCATAATGATGGAAGAGGTCACCCAGTGGCCTAATGTAAACGTGAAATAGGACCAGAGAGAATATCTAACACTATTACACTCTATATAGCAGATGCTGAGGGTGGGACTCTTTCCCCCAATTATCACTGACTGGAATTGACTCCAGAGAAAAGCAGCAAACTAGCACAATATTATGTCTCACTCCCAACCCCTTGAGTCAATCCAGAAGGATACCATTGTTGATGGTATCAAAAACTGCAGAGAGGTCAAGTAGGGCAACAATGGATTTAAAACCCATATCCCACTGTCTTCAGAGATCATCCTTAAGTATGCCAATGTTGCTTTGTCCCATATCTAGGTATGATTGTCAACTGAAAGAAATTCAGATAATCCATTTCATTCAAGGTTCTCAACCACTTTCTCACTGGCAGCAGCTGACAGGGTCACATTCCATCATTGTTGTGCAATTGGGTTCCCTTAGCCCAGAACTGAATCTACCACTGCTATTGGTTACTAGCCAAGCCTAGTAGCCAATAAAGATCACTCCTCTATCTCTCCAACACAAGCCATTGACAAATCCCAACAAACAAAAATCCACAGTGAAAAAAATGCCATACAATACATAGAAGGGCTGTCACCCGAAAGGCTGCAGGTCCACAGAGTGGTGTGCACATTACATTGGCACATGGCCCATCCTATAGCCTGCTCTACCTGGAACATAAGAACAGAGCCCAAACAAACCTAAGAGGTCCAAATCCAGGTTGAAACCAAACCCAGCCTTAGTCCAGACCTAAAAAGCCAGGTCTTTGCTTCCAATTCTGGATGGTTACTTTGTCAGTGCTTTTAACTTTGAACAGTTGCTAAATGGGATAGTTGTTAAAGCAAAGTCTAGGTGTAATATTTTGCCTTTCTACAGCCTTAAATATTGTAATCTAGAATTTTTGTTGTAATACTCGAGGAGTTGTACCTAAGATATTCAAAAGGGATACATGTAATTCACAATCACATAAATCTCTGTGATACATAGATCATGTTAGGCAACTTCAGATTTCTTTACTCAAGTTTAATGACACAGTGGCCATATCTGTATAGTACCCACCACATGCAAAATAGGATAATCCTCTACAACACAATTTATTGGACTAATTCACAATCCCAGCCAATTAAAATTGTGCTTGTGCGCCCCCCCCCCTTTCCCACACATATAGTCTAGGGATGTTTTTTCCCACAAGGTAAGATGGGATCTAGAGATCAAGATTGCTAAAATATAGGCATATGGTTGCCTAAATAAAAACCAGAAGTTGGGCAGCAAAACAAAAACCTCATGAATTACATAGACTTCAGGTAGGAAAATGGATATTACAAAATCTTAAACTGCACTTTGAAAAAATAGAAGGCTGAACAAGATCCTGTTAAAATAGATCAAACAATTAAAAAAATCTTTGTGACTTCAGTTTGTTTGTGTATCTCTCTTCTATCTCAACATCCCCAGGAATGCCACCACGTGAAGAGATTAAAAGAAAAAAAATAAATAAGGTTTTTTTTAATCTGAACAGTTCTCAACCAACAGTATACTTGCCTATAATCCTTTTTATTCTACTGTGAGGCCAACAAAGACATTTGTTATATGCTGCTAACTTTATAATAAAACATGAAGGAAATATTTTACACCTGCTGCCTGATAGTTTGCTTTTAAAGGTAGCAAAAATGAAACAAAGGAAGTGTTTACAAGAAGATCTTTTCATGAAGAAGTGAAAAACACAGCTGTATGCAGCACCCATGAAGAGGAGAGCTCAAACTCTCTTCTTTGAAGTAAAAGGAAAAAAGAGTCTTTTTAGAATCATTCACTGCATTCTATTTTTACTCCTTTATTCCTTTCAAACTGCCTAGCTATAGAAACTCACCACACTGCACAATGTAAGGAATTTCTGCTGCTCGTCTTCTTTTATATTGAACTGCCTCAGAAGGTCTTTCACACCATTTATCACTTAGATATCCAAAATCATTCCAGAACTTTTCTCCTTTTTGACCTTAGAAAATAAATAGTTTCAATATTACATTATACACTGCAGTGAAAGAACAATCATAACCTCCATCAGATCAATTTGGGTTGGAAAACTATGAAGATTGCTGGGTTATAGTCCGGAACAAGGACAAGAACAGGTCAAAAAGCAGTTTCTCCAAACGACAGTAGTGTAATGGCAACCTGGGCACTTAAATAGAGTTCAAGTTCATAATTTTTGTGTTTCTTGAGAACAATGTCATATTTAAACTGAAAAAAAAAACCCTTGGAATTGTTTGGTTTAACAATGTTAAAGGGAATCAATATAACTTAATTTTCAAGCATATTTATTCTACAATTTCCAGCTTGATCTTACTAATTGTAAACACTCTTACACAACATACAAAACGACCACAATCCATCTGCATTTTATTTATAAATTTCATAGGTATACCAATTTTCCTCTAGAGGCTTAAGATGAAATAAGTTGAGGTCTTCTATAATTGTGCATTCACAACAATAATCTTGTCACTAAAGTGAGACCTTGTTAAGTAAAAACCTGAATCTATCCAGCTGAATTTACAATACAAGACATTAAAAAAATGGTGGGGGAGGAGAGTTTGCCTTCAAGTCAGTTTCGATTCCTGGAGATGGACAAGATAAGTCTGCACAGTTTTCTTAGCAGCGTTTTTGGAAGTGGTTTTCCAGTGCCGCCTTCTAGGGATGAGAGAAAATGACTAGCCCAAGGTCAGCTAGCTGGCTTTATGCCTAAGGCAAAAGTAGTAGTCACCATACTACTGGGGATTCAAATCCTGGCAGAGTTACGTCTCACCTGTCTTACCAGGAAAGAAACAATGTTGCTTGCTTAGCATTATAAGAGCCTCAGTGGCGCGGTGGATAGTGTGTAGTACTGCAGGCCACTTCTGCTGACTATCGACCGCCTGCAATTTGGCAGTTCAAATCCCACCAGGCTCAAGGTTGACTCAACCTTCCATCCTTCTGAGATCAGTAAAATGAGAATCCAGATTGTTGGGGGCAATATGCTGACTCTGTAAACTGCTTAGAAAGGGCTGTAAAGCACTATAAAGCGGTATATAAGTCTAAATGCTATTGCTATTATAGGGTCCAGTGCATTGGGTAAGGACCGGAAATAGGGTGGGGAATGTTAAATAAGGCAAGGTGAAGAATCTATCAGTGTCATCCAATAGGGGGATAAACACCAGATCCTTTATTTATGACCCTTCTATCTCAATACTATCTAGCAATCACTAAAAGGAGTTCCTATTTTTATCATAAGCAGTTGTCATATTAACAGTTTAGCTTTATAGAAATAGAGCCACAGTTACTGGCTATAAAGGAGCCAAAATAAGTGATCTTTTGGAAGAAACAACATTTCTTCTACCCCTGCCCATTTCTCATAACTGAGTAATGTAAGTTCTGAATAATACTAACAAAATAGATATTCCATGTAGTAATTTCTTATATTACATTACTGGTATACTATATATCCACATTCAAGGAAACATTATATATGCATATTATTGAATATGGACATATCATTTCTGCCTTTTCCATTTTCCCACACTGAAGGAGCAAAATCAGAAATGGTTTCTCTTTTCTGCCTTATCATTTTCGCCATCCTGTGAAGGCTCCTACTTGCCTTCAAGTGAATTACAAGTAAAAGCGTTATTTGATAAATGTGGAAAAGGAATGTCAAGATGGCATCAGGGCTGGTGTGCATGACTGTGAGTCTCACTCAAGCCCTCAAGTGTCTCACTGAAGCAGAGTGTCTTAACAGAACTAACATGAGGCTATGGTTGTGCAAATCATCTTGAACTGTGACTACTTACTTATCCCCATGTCTTTACAGTATTGAATAAGATAATTTTCCATTGATTTCAGCAAGTGCCTGTATTCCTTAATGTTGGCAAAAGCCTGCTTGTTGTGTGTCGGTTCCATAATATCTAATGGTACATCTATAATCCCCACAGCTCCAGAACCAAAGCTGTGGAATGAAAATTAGGTGTTAAATATGAAATAATGGATCATGACTTTAGTCCTAGATGCTTTTATTTATATCGAATTTCAAAAATTCTCTGCTTAGTATTTTTAAAAAGTAACACTTTATAATTTTTATTTATAATCAGAAAATTTGTCTATAAACAATCCAATTAAGTCAAATAAAAGTAAATAAAATATTTTTAGCAATACAGAAAAGTGATTCTTACAGGTTAAAGAAGAAAACTTACTATGGTCCTGTGTTTTTCCGTGATCCCAATTTCTCGAACATTCTGATCAAGCGATTATTGCTATAGATAAGCATTCCATCTTGACTTCTGTTTTGAATGTTTATTCCAAATATTATGAATAACCTTTTTGGTCTTTTCAGGTTTCTAAAAAGAAACAAAATAAAGAGGGGAAAAATTTTCTTTCTCTCCTTTTAATATACACCCATACACCTGTACCCACATACATACATACATATATATTATATATATAGTGAAACATCAATGGCAGAGAATCTAGCTTGGCCCAGGAGTCTCTTGCTAATGTTAGCAGGACTGGAAGTACTGGAATTAAGAGGTATGAAGCCATAGCTTTTTGGATTAACTGGAATACCAATTCTGTACCATTTGGAAAGAATACTGTACCAATGTGTTCACTGTAGGAATGGAGGAAAACTGAGCACGAGGTAATGACATTTAAGGAGCTGAGGATTCTAGTTCACTTTAGGCATGAAAACTGGCTGCTCATGAAAGTAACTTTGCTCCACTAATCTCAAAGAATTGTTGTAGAAAAAAAAGGAGGAAAAAGGAGTATTATGTAGGTTCAATGATGAGTTAGTTATATAAATAATAATGGTTTAATTAAAAAATAATCTGAAAAAAATGCTGAATGGACCAAAATATATCAAGTTCGGCAGGACTCAAATCTAAACGGTGTTGAACATGTAATGATTGTGCTCCCATCAAACAATTGTGTAAATTGAAAGATTCTAAACAGGTGTTACAAAGATGCATTATCCATGTGTGAATTGCAAAAACTAAAAGAAATTGAGGTTATTTTTAACACTTAATTTGAATAAGTATTGGTCTTAGATGTACGTGATATCTGCAGAATTATGAAAATACGACAAAGCTATGATAACTAGTTTGGCTCTAGAACTAATTTTTATAACTATTTGTGATATAAAGTAAACTATTTTGGTTTTGTTCAGTTGCAATATCTTTTCAAAAAAGTAATTATGTCTTAACTTGCCTTTTTTTCTCTTCATTTTTTTCTCTTACTCTCTTTTCTTCCTCCAGAGCTTCTTGAAACACAACTTGCAAATACTTTTTCCCCACAATATCAGAAAGGAAAAAGAAGTTATTTTATTGTTTATGAATGAATGTATTTATTTTGAAAAACGTTTTGAGGATAAAGAATGGATAGGAAAGCTACAGCTGTCAGTTGTATATTGATGATAACAGTTTCTGCCTTTTATGTTTGGGGTATATATGAAAACTAAAATCCAAAACATAAAGTAGACATATTTAGTCCATCAGATTCTATCAGAAAACCGCTGTTGCATATTTAGACATATTTGTCCATCAGATTCTATCAGAAAACCACTGTTGCCCCTTTAGTTTCTTGGCTTCAAAAAGGTTATCTTCTTTAGGTTAAACTAAAGACACATAGATAGCATTTCATTTTACTTTAGCTTGTAAATTAAGGAACAAATTGGAGAAGGACAATGTAATATTACATTTCATTCTTAGATCTTACTTTAAATTTGTAGAATGCAACTTATAAATTAAATTAGAACCTCAATCAATTTTGGAAGAAGCAGGCACAATATGACAGGGGTGTTAAACTCAATTTCACTGAGGGCCACATCGGGGTTGTGTTTGACCTCATGGGGCTGGGATGGGCATGGCCAACTCAACATCACTTATGTCAGGGCGCCTGTAGTGGTCCAAACGCTCTGACAATGAAAATGAGCTCCTGAGCTCTGTTTTTGGCTGTGACAGCTTCCTGCAACCTTCTGCCAGCAAAAATGGAGCTTTGGAAGACTGCCCACGGCCATTGTGAATTCTGTTTTCGGCTACAACAGCCTCCTGAAACCTTCTTACATTCTCAGAAGCAGCCACCTCACAAGGAACAGGTTATCCTTTGAGGACCACCCTTTCATCTTTTTCTATTTTCCACAGGGCTTTGGAAGACTGAATTTGGAAGACCACAGAAGACTTTTGAAAATGCTAGGATGCAATGTTTTAAGGCATTATCATTATTATTTTAAGGCTTAGAGTTGCTTGAGCAGGTTATGCACACATAATTGCTACAAGTACATAAATACAATATCAACCCATGCTGCATATGGATGTATGCTGTTAGCACTAATAATCAGACTGAATAATTCTTTTATAAATTCCTTTTAATTGAAGTTGAAATGGATTGTATTTGGGATTCCCTCATGTAAAACTACCAAAGAACAATGGAACTTCCACTAGATTAAAATCATATTTTTAGTAGACTGGCCATCAGAAAGGTTCATCACACCTTTAGTTAATTACCACAAGTATTTCATTTTCTTGACTTGGAGTATGTAAAACTATCTATGTATAGCACCAGCATATGGTGGACACAGCATATATTTAGCTGGAAGCTTTGAATTATTAGTAGAAGCCATAGCTCTTTAAGCATAAAAATTCAGCACAGGAGGGATTAATAACAGGATTATTCCCCAAGAATATAAATAATGATTTAGAGAGGTATAATTAGGCTTCAATTACCATGATGAAATCCAAAATGAAAACTGCTTTCTAAACATTGTTTAAAAATAAATGAACCGAAAGCTAAGATAGCTTAGTGAAAACTTGGCAGTAGTAAACAGGCAATTAACAAGATGTGAAATAAATTCCTACTGTTTAAAGCTCATGCCAGGCAAACTTTCAATAATCTGGAATTATCCATGTTAATAGTCTTTATTTTTCAGCAAATAATCTAACTATCTTAACTAACCCAATCAGGAAGCAATAATAAATGTAGTTTATGTTGATGTTTTACAGTGTTTTAAAGTTTGGCCACATTTTCTCTTAGAATTTGTTTTACCTAATGTTTTTAATGCAAATAGAAATTGTGTTAGATACTGGGCATCAAACTCGTGACATCATGAGACATATTGCAAATTTCCCCCCTTCATTAAACCAGTGCATGATGCATCCAGCCTGCGAACTGCAAATTTGACACCTCTGTTGTAGGGCATAGATTAAAAACTAACTCCAGCCATATTTTGAAAGGTAATTGCAACAATAATGATCCAGAGTATCAAGCCCTTTAATTAGATGCATATAGTTTTAAAAATAATGCTGTCCCCTCCCCCCACTGTTCCTCCAGCTTTCTATTCAAATTGATGGCCTCAGAGATTGTGTAACAAGCATATTGGAGAAACTGGTTGTGTATTACTTCTAAAGAGAAATCTGCTCCAGTGATACACATATAATTCTCCCAAAGTTGAATTACTACTACATGGTATTTGCGCGCAGACCTTGCACTTGACCTAAACATAGCAGACCTCATGGTGAATAAAACTGCTCAGATATGTCACATCTCACATGTAGAGTATTACTACATTGAATTGATTATTTCCCAAGCCAAATCAAAGTATTTACTTTGACTTCCTTACATGATTTAATTACCTGGAGCCATATAGTCTCTCCATGCTACAAGTCTTCAAAAGAACACCTCTTATATACCTCATGCACCTAATGTTGATAGTAAATTCTTTTTTATATTTCAGGTTATAGTCTTCTCTAGTAAATATAAAATCTCCTTATCACCACTTTACTTTACCTAGGAAATTTTGAGTTTATAGAAGGTTAGAGTTTATGCATCTTTTTTATTTATTTGTGTCATCACCACCCAAAGCCATTTGGGAATTAGCAACATATTGGTAAATAAAAGGTAAATATAAAATAAAAATAGATGGAATCATTTAATTATATACACCTTTGACTGAAACTCAATTAAACCTTTAAATTCACAGTTCTATGAAGTTTGCAATACAGTTTTTCAAATAAACATTGTATGCATTATATATAGCATATATGTATCCAAAGACAAATCAGAATCTTGGTTGCAAAAAATGCAGGTTCCACAGAATAGTATAAATGGGTGGGCTTCAAAAATATCAGCAACCGGCTCTCTGCCTAGTTGCTGGGTGGGCGTGGCCATGGTAGGCATGGCCTAGTCGGCCTCCTACATCATGGTGGGGAAGAGGGCATTTTCGCCTCCCCAGGCTCAGGAGGCTTTCCTTGAGCCTCCGGGAGGGCGAAAATGGCCTTCCCTGGGCTCCAGAGGCCCTCTGTAGGATGGAAACAGGCCTTTTTCTGGCCTTCCATAGCCTCCGGGAGGCCCGGTTTTTTGCCCTCCCCAAGCCTCTGTGTGGGCCCTGCACTTACCTGGCATCCAAACAGGCCACATGGGGATGCCTGGGAGGGGCCAGCCAGGGGTGGGATTTACCACTTTGCCAAACCGGTCATAAAACTAGTTATGGGTTCACCTGAACCGGGATGAACCAGTAGCAGCCCACCCTGAATCCGTACAAGTACGCTGAAATTTTTGGGCATAGAAAATATTTTTGGGGATATGGCTATCTACAAGTCAATATAATGCTGAGAAGTGTTCATCTCACTTCTCCAATTCCATATTTATCACTCCAATTCATTTCGGTGAGCCTTATATTGGCCATACCAAAAAGGATACTGATCTCTGAAAGGAAAACTTCAGATAAATATAATATAAATGTTATTCCTGGTTCAATACCTCACTATCTTCAGACAAGGAAGATTGTTCTAGTCTGCTTTTTACTTCTGCCACAGCATTTTCGGCTACAAGCATAAACAAAAGAATTTGTTAAACTGTTTGGGAGAAATGCTTCTTCAATCTATGTGACATACAAAGCAAAACTATTAAAGTTGACTCCTAAAAGTTGACTCCTTAAAGTTGGCACCTGATTTATGATCATTTCATGAATGGGAATAGCACAAAAACAACCTCCCTATATTGGGATTGATCTCTGAACATGCCTGGATTCAATTCAAAGTTAGCTTTTTAGGGGTGAAGTAAAACAGATGAAACTTTTCCATTTTGCATATTTTCTGACATTTACTTTTCACATGCTATTCTTCCTTATCTGCAACTTATATTTTAAAAGTAACATTTTTGTATTCTATTATTGCAGTGGTATTAGCTACTGATTCCCCAAAAGATGCAGTGATTTCTCTTTAGCCCATACTATTTTTTTCCTAAAGGTGAAAATTAGATAAGTTTAAAACAACTAAGGGATTAAAGAAGTTCCTAAGTTTTTAAGTGCTTAAAAGGTTATCCCAGTAACTGTAAAGGTTCTCCTCAGAATGGGAAAATGTCTGTCAACTATTTTTCTTTATTGCCATGGAAAAAACAATGCTGTGGGGAAAAAACCGTAAACATTAAAAAAAATGTGAATACACGGTCATCCCCATCTTCAAAAAGAGAGAACCCAGCCTAGTTGAAAATTACAGACCAATCTCCTTATGCTGCATCACCTGTAAAGTCATGGAATCAATTATTAACCAATCCATTCTCCTCCACTTAGAGACAAACAACCTACTCTCCAATAAACAATTTGGTTTCAGGAAAAAACTATCCTGTAATCTGCAACTGTTACACTGCAAAAACATATGGACTATACAACTCGATCAGGGCAAAGCAATAGACGCAATCTACATAGACTTCTGTAAAGCCTTTGATTCAGTGGTACACGACAAACTACTCCTAAAACTAAAATCTCCAGGTATCTCTGGACAACTACATAACTGGATAGAAGCATTCCTGTCAAACAGACAACAAATGGTCAAAATTGGGAGTGTCCTATCAAATTCGGTACCTGTCAATAGTGGTGTCCCCCAAGGCAGTGTTCTAGGACCAACTCTCTTCATACTCTACATAAATGACCTCTGTGATCATATTAAGAGCAACTGCGTTCTTTTCGCTGATGATATAAAGCTGTTCAATACCACAGACAATACTGCTACCCTTCAAAAAGATCTTGACTATGTATCAGAATGGTCAAACAAATGGCAACTTCAAATCTCAAGAAATAAATGCTCTGTCTTACATACTGGCAAAATCAGAAAATAAAATACAAGCTGAATAGTCAAGATCTTGTTGAAGATCCAAGCTCTGTAAAGGAACTTGGAATACTCATCTCTAATGATCTAAGTGCTAGAGCCCACTGTAACTACATAGCCAAAAAGGCATTAAGAGTTGTTAACCTAATCCTATGTAGCTTTTTCTCTGGTAATATCACACTACCGACTAGAGCATACAAAACATTTGCTAGACCAATACTTGAGTACAGCTCATCAGTCTGGAACCCACATTACATATCTGATATTAGTACAGTTGAGAAAGTCCAGAAATATTTTACAAGAAGAGTTCTCCATTCCTCTACTTATTGCATAATATGTTATGCCACCAGACTCGTAATTCTAGACCTAGAAAACCTAGAACTACGCCGCCTTCGGTCCGATCTAAGTATAGTATATAAAATCATACATTGCAATGTCCTCTACCTGTCAATGAATACTTCAGCTTCAACCAAAACAATACAAGAGCACACAATGGATACAAACGCAAGGTTAATCACACCAAACTTGATTGCAGGAAATACAACTTCAGCAACAGAGTGGTCAATGTCTGGAATACTCTACCTGACTCTGTAGTTTCTTCCCCAAACCCCAAAAAGTTTAGCCTTAGACTGTCTACTATAGACCTCACCCCTTTCCTAAGAGGTCTGTAGGGGGCGTGCATAAGCACACCAACGTGCCTACCATCCCTGTCCTATTGTTTCTTTTATTTTTTTTATATGTACCCATTTCATGTATTCATAACTATGTATATACTTATACCTATTATCTTGTAAGCAATTGACAAATCAAATCAAATCAATCAACCAACCAATCAATCAATAAATAATGGAAAGAACTAAAGTATATATCTAGTATATATATATATATATAAATATGAATATTGGATACTGCATACCAGCCTTTAGTTCCATTTGTGCCTTCTGTAATTCACAAGTAGCAATTTGTTTGAATGAAGATGATGTATATGGATACATCCTATTAATACATAAAACATGAATTTCACAGAATTAGTATGCATACAAGGGCTGGCCTGGTATAATGGCTAAGGCACCTGGCTAGAAACCAGGACTGCTTGTCCTACTTTAGGCACAGAGCCAGCTGGATAACTTTGAGCCAATCCCTCTCAGCCCTAGGAGGCAGGAATGTCAACTATTTCCAAAATCTTGTCAAAAAAATTGTAGTGGCAGTTTACAATGTCATCATATTGCCTCCAACAATCTGGATCCTCATTTTACCGACTTTGGAAGGTTGGAAGACTCAGTCAATTTGAGGCCCATCAGGATCGAAAACCAGGCTATGGGCAGAGTTTGCCTGCAATACTGCACTCTAACTACTGCACCATCAAGGCTCCAAATACATGCACCACCACGGCTCCAAATACATGATAATATAAAATTCCCTTTATGCACAAATGAAGATATCTGCAGAACTCTGTCCATGGATGTGTCATTTACACTATATAATTATTTAGAGGAGAATAAAGACAACTTTCCTACAGTAAGCCCAATTTCCCAGGGGTTTCTAGAGGCCTTCAAAAGCCAGCTTCATAATCCATAACTGAAGCAGGATTTGAAACTAACGAATACTCTGAAGTGGGTTTTAGTTCTTTCTCTCTCTAAAATGGTTATATCTGCAAAACATACAAGTCAACCTGGCCAGGTATCGTGGAATTGGTTAAAATATTTAATTTGTTGTTCTCACATAAGATTAAATGATTATTTTTCAAACAGGCATATCTGAGAGATCAATGGATAATTTAGCCTCCAGAACTGTTTTTAGCCTCACCATAACCAGTTCCAGGATATTAATTACTAAACTTCCAAATCCATGCTGCATTTGTAATGGTTAAGTGAGAAAGACTTTGAGAAAGAAGGGGAATAGATAGGGTCACAGCTACTTAATGCTTAGGGAATAGATAGGGTCACAGCTACTTAATGGGCAGACAAGGAGACTCAGAAAGGAGACACCCTAACTTCTCAGATTTGTAAAAGAGGCAGCCTGAGATTTGTACTTTGAAACTTTCAAGATTCTGTTAATGTAGCCTTAAGTAAGATAAAATTAGTTAATCTGTTCATGTTTCCTATCTGGTCTACCTAAGCAAGTGACAGTATTAAAATATTAGAGGTTCATTAGAAAACAAAACAAAACAAAACATGAAATTTGAATTATTTGCATTATTCAGCAGTAATCTTTCAGAAACAACATTTCTAACCCACATTCAATAAAATAGAATTCAAAGCAGTAAGAGTAAACCAAATAAAGCCTATTCCTGTTGATAAGTGATAATCTGATTTAAAGTGTTCCAAATTCTAGGTCCCAACTGATTTACTGTTAAGAGTGATTTTAGTTTGTCTTAGGTCATAAATTCTTCTAAATCAAAATCAATTTGTTACTGGGACCAAAGAAGTTAATCAACCAATCAGAATAGACTGGAAGGGACCTTAGAGGACCCTATACCATTTCAGATAGGCGGCTGTCCAGGTTCTTAAAAACCTCCAGTAATGAAGCACCCACAACTTCTGAAACCAAGCTGTTCCATTGGTTAATTGTACTAACTGTTAGGAAGTTTCTCCTAAATTCCAGGTTGCTTTTCTCCTAGATTAGTTTCCACCCATTGTTTCTTGTCTTGCCTTCTGATACTTTGGACAATAAACTGACCCCCTCTTCTTTATGGCAGCCACTCAAATACTGGAATACTGCTATCATGTTACCCCTAGTCCTTCTTTCTTCTAGACTGGCAACCCAATTCCTACAACTGTTCTTCATATGTTTTTGTCTCTTTAATCATCTTAGTTGCTCTTCTTTGTACTTTTTCCAAAGTCTCAACACCTTTTTTGTAATGTGGTGACCTAGTGCTTTCACGCACATCGCTTTGAACATTTAAATGTGTGCTTTTATAACTGTAAGCAAAGCTGACTCACCTGGGCCTGTAAAAACAGAAAAGCAAATGCTTGGTTCTGACTTTCTCAGCTTGAATGAATATCCTCATTCGTGGGTTGAGATACAATATAGCTGTATAAGCTCTTAGTGATTTTTCTTCTGGATAGCTGGTGTAGAAAATATTTCAGGCCAAATACATTTCAATTAAGAGAATTGTACTGGATAGAGACAATATAGTGTATTACTGATGTGAAAGAAATCATACAAAGCAGTCAGAAAAACTGAGGTGCTGGACAATTCCTTCCCAAAAAGGCATATAAAACATTTTTTTTTGGATTTTGGAAAGAACATATGAAGGCAACTAAGAACAAAAATATTCTTCATATGCTTGTCTAAACAGCAAGGTACAACACGGCCAATAATTTGAGATAATGTTTATTTCTCCAAGATAACAACATCCTACTTTCTTTTTCATAATAACTTACTTCTCTGGCATCCTATCAGTCAATATATCCTTCTCATTTGTTAGAATATCAAGTTCTGGCTCCCCATTCAATGCAAGTTTCAGATTGTATATCACCAGCAGGGTTCCTAGGTTTGAATATGTAAATAACAAGTTGTATTGTTTCCCCCCACAAAAAGATCTTATAATGTCAGTGAAGATTCACTATAGTGGAATAGCATATCTTTTTCTGAACTATCAATGTATGGATACTTGTGTACTCTACATTAAGATCCCTTTCTTTGGGTGAAAATCAATTTTTAGCAATATATAATAGAAGACACTATTTTTGTTATCACCAGAAAAACAGAATCCTGTTACTCTAGTAATATGTGAAAGAAGAACGCTTAGAATCCAAAGTGGCTTCTGACAGTAAAAGCAATATCAGTATGATCTTTTTATACAGTCCTTCTTCTATCATCATAAAATAGGATTTATACGTCTTTCTCATAAAATTTGTTCAGCTAGATCTAGATCTAGATCATTACTGACTCAAAAGCATGTATATAAATTTATGAATAAACCACTTTGTGCACATTTATAGGGAAAGCACAAAAAGAAGTCATCCCACTTAAATATAAAATACATTATACAGAAAATACATTTTCTATTTTAGCTGTAGTAGAAAGCCACATAAATTTCTATTTTACAGAAATTGTATTCAGAATTTTCTTTAAAGGGTAATTGAAACATGGCTTTCCAAGTCAACTATTTAATCTACATAATCTTCAAGACCATTTTTAGTTTTTCTTTAATTATTCTGTAGGCTGGAAGTTTTCTTTACATTTGTATGTTAGTCAACAACAAATGAGGGCCTTCATACATGCACAGAGCAACTGAAAATTGGTTTGCTGTAAAGAGCATTCAGGCTGACTAACGATTCCAATTTCTCAAGATACTGATGGACTCAGGATATGCAGAATGCCTTCTTTTTGATTCTGAAGTCTATATTCGATTCTAAGGAAGTGCAGGCTCTGTTGGATTTCAGGTTCAAGAACAGAAAGCATAACTTATGGGGAAGAATTCCAGAGAGGCCTCTGTGAAGTTCTGAATTCAAGATGCTTAAGGATCAACTTAAAATTCTTTATTGCACTTGATAATCTTGGAAAAATATCTATCCACTAGTTGCAGCCATTGTCTGTTTCATTGTTGAAACAATAGTGCCTCAATCTTTAGTCTATTGTTTTTTTGGTTTTTTTTGCTAATTGCTACAATCTCAATTGACCCATATTAATTATGCTGCAGCATGCCTTGGTTCAGCTCACAATACTCATGCTACTGCTTAAGGCAATGATCTGCAAAAGACAGAGCAATATTGGTATATGTGGACAATATTTAAATTTAAGTGGTAAACTTACCTGTTTTTCCATAAATGGCATTAAACTGGTTCATCAATTCATCTTCATTATTAAAAGGAGAATATTTGCAAATTATGGACAATTGAGTAGAAAATTTCTCAGGATCATCTATTACTGGAGTCCTTGTGTCACTTGACCACGAAAGGATTGGCACTATGACCTGTAACCAAGAACATTAGAGTACAGGTTGTCCTTGACTTACAACAGTTCATTTAGTGACTATTCAAAGTTAAATGGCACTGGAAAAAATGACTTATAGCCGTTTTTCACAGCTACAACCTTTGCAGCATCCCTATGATTACGTACTGTATCAAAATTCAGATGCTTGACAAGTGTTTCATACTTATGTGAGCGTTGCAGTGTTCCGGGGGTCATGTGATCGCCTTTTGCAACCTTATGACAAGCAAAGTCAATGGGGAAGCCAGATTCACTTAACAACCAGGTTACTAACTTATCAACTGTAGTGATTCACTTTACAACTGTAGCAAGCAAGGTTGTAAAAAGAGGCAAAAATAAAATAAAAAACTGGAGATTTTTATGCATTTCATACATTTATGATTTCTTTGACCTTAAAAGTCTTTTAACTTGTTATAAATGCCTTAAAGGTTTTTATTCAATTAAAACATTATTTTCTCAGAGAAGAACTTCTGTGTGGGTAACCTTGGAAATTCATTTTTAATTAACTTTTAATTATCCAATTAAATAGTTTAGCAAATTTGTATGACTATATTTAGAGGCTAAAACTATACAGTATACCTGTAGATGAGATGGGTGGCATACAAGTCAAACAAATAAATAAATAAGTAAACATTAACAATTTTAAAGTTAACATACATACATTCATACATACAAAATAAATATGTGGTTTATCTATTTAAGTTAAGATTTAAACATGCTAAAATGTAACGACGGATTCTCTTTCAAAGTTATAAAGGACTCAAAAGAAGTCACTCATGACCTTTCCTCAAAGTTAGACTGCCACCTGCACTCCTGCCCACCTTTCCCCAGTCATGAGATTGCATTCTGGTTGTATGGCAACTGGCTTATATTTATAACCAACTGCATTGTCCCACAGTCAAGTGACCCCTATTTGTGACTTTCTGGAAGAACATGGCAAAAAAGCACTGAATGGAGATGTTGAATTAATGACCACACAATTTGCTTAATGATCACACAATTCACTTAACAAACATGGTGACTTAGTTTACAACCACCCTCAAAACAGTTGTAAAAATTAAGTCAGGTCATGTGGTGACCTGAGTCGAAATGACCAAATGGTAACAACTGCAATGACATGTAATCAAAATTTCAGTCCCAGTTGTGATCATTGAGGACTTAAGACTCTGGAAATAAAGAGAGCTTCACTTCAAATAACCAATCACACATGTGGATACTACAGGTATTTCTCCTTTTTCTCAAGAGTTTGTTTCAAGCTTTTTGCAGCTTACTGTACAGTTTTGTTTGTAATGCCTCAAAATGTTGATCCACCATGTTATCCACATGCCAATAATTAAACTGTAGTAATAAGAGGGGCATGAAAAATATGTTTTAGGAACTGTTTGCAACTTGGGCCATAGATGGCTACTTTCAATACTAAGAACATGACCTGTATTTGTATGTTCAGCCTTCTCTTTCCCACATTTCTTCAATGGTTTAAAATTAGGTCCACAGGCAAAATATTATTACTAAATGGGAACATGAATTTCTGCCCCAGAACCAGATGTATGTTCAAAACATCCCATCAATCAATGTCACAGCTGAGTGGCCAGACAGAAATAACAGACACACCATCTTCAGAGAAGATTATTATCCACTCTTCTATTGTCATCTGTTTAATGAGAAATGAAGGGGCAGGATTTATGACAGTAGCCATCATTTATAATCATTACAGCAATTTGTTCTAAAACTTTCATACAAGTTTCCTTATATTAAGGAACTGTTTCTTGTGGATAGGATATGGGACATAGATATTCTAGGATGACATTGTCTTCCCAAGCACAGTTGAGAAAATCTTATTGCCAGATTTTCTGCTCTTGTGATGGGTGAAAATGCACACAACAATACTTACAACTACAACTGGATGTTGAGGGTAAAATACTAGTATCATCTTTATCTTTGAACACCTAAGGCATATATAAACCTATAAATATTCTTATAACTTAAAAATAAGGGTGGGTGATACCTAGATCCTATCCTAAGTGTGCCAGTGGACATAACTTAATCCTAGTAAATGCATGTTTTCAATCAAGCTTCCCCCATAATTACAGCTAATTTATAAATGGGGAATTTCCTAATCAGGTAGTCAGTTCTATAAATATTCATGAAAGTGCTACCCATATTCCAAATTTGCCCATATGCAATAAGTAATTTTTATAAGGTCATTTTAAGTATTATATGGCATTGGAAAAAAGAATCAGCTAACTTGCAATGATCAAAACCCATGAATAAAACATATAGAGTGGTTGCATGCTAGAGAGACTCTCTTTTGGTTATAAGTTAATTCATATATTTTGTTGTGGGGGATTCAGTGGGATTTAAAAATATTTTTCATTTATATAAAAATAACCTGGAAAATAACACAAAGGCGACATGAATAGACACTGTGCATTTTAATGTAAGCAGGAAGGAATGACAAAAATATAAATGCAATATATAATGTTTCTTTGGGTTTGTTATGTTTTTTTTGCACTTCCGTGTTAGTGCTATTTCAGTCTATAAACTTGGTCATGTTTTAATTACATACCAGTTTCTGAACCACCTTGATGTTCTTATCAGGACATAAAAATGGGAAATAAATACTTCAAAATGTAGTTGTGAACAAACATACCTGACTGAGACCTTCTGTTTCGCAGAATGTCTGAGAGAAAAGAAGACACGTAATTGTATTCTCTTTTTTGGTAAATAATATCAAGTCATTTCCTATTCGCATTGATCCTCTGTAATAAAAATATAGAAAAAAAACATTTTTAAAATATGAATTAACGAATCTGAACAGCTAATGAATCTGAATAGTTTTTTTCTTTTTCTTACTTTACTGATTTAAAAAACTAATACCAGACAGATTCATATAAGATATAAATGCTACAGCCAAAGTTTAATCACATATTTATTTAGCTTCCTTTACTGTTTCCTTTTTCTTACATTTCCTTTTTTCACTGTTTTATTTTCTCTGTTGCCATCAGAATCCAGAGTGGAATATTAGGATTCTTTTCAAATTTTAGCTTTGAATTATATCCTACTCTTTTCTGTGCATTTCCCCATTCTCTAACAAATGCTTAATTAGTCATTCAGTCTCCTTCTCATCTCCTATCTACCCACATACGTCATACATTAGGGAAAGGGTTGTTTTATGGTGATTTAAGATGGTAGCCACTTGTTACAAAAATATAAGTCCATCCTATCCATACACACAAGGCAAGGTTCTATCTCAGTATTTATGATAAACTGACCTTGGATTTTATTTCTTTAAAACCAAGCAAGTATATCTATTACAGATTTCTCGCCCCCCCCCCCCAGGTATTTATGGTACAATGAAAATTATATTTTACTTTGTTGATGTTGTCAACCTTATCTTCATATCTTGCAACAACATAACATAATTTTGCTTTCATACTGACTGCAATTTTCTTTTATGTCCATACATTTATTATGTATTTTAAATAAAACATTTTTTCAAATACAAGAGCATTGCTTATATATTGCTTCACAAGTTTGCATACGTTTGTGAATAAAGATATTATTAGTGAAAGTAGTTACTGTTAGATTTGGTGCAAACTTTTATTTTTATGGCACTTAACCTGCAAGACTTTGGCATTTTATATATTTCTTCTTGTACTTCATGACAACCAGAATAAAAACTATGTAATAAAATATAAAAAGAAATAAGTCTTACGATTTCAATCCATTGCCATAACGTCCAATCATTGTAGGGTCTTTTCTCTTAGAAGACCTTCCAAAATATACAATATCTGTAGCTTCATCTAAAATAGGTTTATAACATTTCAAATGTTGTTCAAATTTCCTATTGTAACAGTACATATTTTTTTAAAAAAATACACTCTAACATTTAAAATTTAGTTAGATCGTATTATATACATTAATTGCTGTAACTCTGTAAGTAGAGATTATTATCTATATATGTGTTATATGTCCATACTTAAAAGATTATGTCTTATCTAAAATTACTTACGCAGTGGCTGTAATATATGACATTCAAATCCAATATATGCCAATCTGAACTTAATAACTCGGTCCTTCATCACTATGATCTTTAGCAACTCATTCTGGTCCAAGAATTGATGTGTCAAAAGCTAGTGGTTTACAAAGTTAGTTTTCTTATATTCAGTATCCCTTCACATAGTAGATTTGCCTCTATTTTTCTATATACCTGAACTTGAAAAAAGCTTAGAAGGACCACATTTGGATATTACCAGAATTCAAGATTTTCAAGAAATCCCAAACCAGTACACTTTATAGCAAGAAAGGGGAAAAATCCAAGCTATGGCAAACTGTTGAAGTACCATATTTTTGCCATGGGAAACAACATGGAAAATAACTTTGTACTATTCAAAACTGCTATCATATTAACAATATATCCCAAAACACTGGAGCACTCCTTGAACACTGTTACCATTATCAAAATCATCACTGGTCAATTGCAAAAGACAGCTTTACTTTGAATGGCTTACATCCTGTGTGATGAAACCTTTAACATCATCGAATAGTATCTGCCTATCCCAAGTACTTTATTTTATTTATTTATTTATTTGATTTGTCAATCGCTTACAAGATAATAGGTATAAGTATATACATAGTTATGAAGACATGAAATGGGTACATATAAGAAAAATAAAAGAAACAATAGGACAGAGATGGTAGGCACATTGGTGTGCTTATGCACGCCCCCTACAGACCTTTTAGGAAAGGGGTGAGGTCAATAGTAGAAAGTCTAAGGTTAAAGTTTTTGGTGTTTGGGGAAGAAACCACAGAGTCAGGTAGAGTATTCCAGACACTGAACCACTCTGTTGCTGAAGTTGTATTTCCTGCAATCAAGTTTGGTGCAATTAACCTTGAGTTTGTATCTATTGTATGCTCTTGTATTGTTTTTGTTGAAGCTGACGTATTCATTGACAGGTAGAGGACATTGCAATGTATGATTTTATATACTATACTTAGATCGGACCGAAGGGAGCGTAGTTCTAGGTTTTCTAGGTCTAGAATTACGAGTCTGGTGGTATAAGGTATTCTGCAATGAGTAGAGGAGTGGCGAACTCTTCTTCTGAAATATTTCTGGACTTTCTCAACTGTACTAATATCAGATATGTAATGTGGGTTCCAGACTGATGAGCTGTACTCGAGTTTTGGTCTAGCAAATGTTTTGTATGCTCTAGTTGGTAGTGTGATATTACCGGAGAAAAAGCTACGTAGGATTAGGTTAACAACTCTTAATGCCTTTTTGGCTATGTAGTTACAGTGGGCTCTAGCACTTAGATCATTAGAGATGAGTATTCCAAGTTCCTTTACAGAGCTTGGATCATCAACAAGGTCTTGACTATTCAGCTTGTATTTTATTTTCTGATTTTTTTTGCCAATATGTAAGACAGAGCATTTATTTGTTGAGATTTGAAGTTGCCATTTGTTTGACCATTCTGATACATAGTCAAGATCTTTTTGAAGGGTAGCAGTATCGTCTATGGTATTGAACAGCTTTACATCATCAGCGAAGAGAACACAGTTGTTCTTAATATGATCACAGAGGTCATTTATGTAGAGTATGAAGAGAGTTGGTCCGAGAACAATGCCCTCGGGGACGCCACTATTGACAGGTACAGAATTTGATAGGGCACTCCCAATTTTGACCATTTGTTGTCTGTTTAACAGGAATGCTTCTATCCAGTTATGCGGGTGTCCAGAGATACCATAAGATTTTAGTTTTAGGAATAGTTTGTCGTGTACCACTGAATCAAAGGCTTTACAGAAGTCTATGTAGATTGCGTCTATTGCTTTGCCCTGATCGAGTTGTGTAGTCCATATGTTTTTGCAGTGTAAGAGTTGCAGATTGCAGGTTAGTTTTTTTCTGAAACCAAGTTGTTTATTAGAGAGTAGGTTGTTTGTCTCTAAGTGGAGGAGAATGGATTGGTTAATAATTGATTCCATGACTTTACAGGCCAGATGCATCACGCGCTGGCCACGCCCATGCCTAGTTTAGCAAAGGGGAAAAAGTCCCAATATGTTACATGATGCCACTATGAGTTTGACATCCCTGTTATAGACAATATATATCTCCTCTGACTGTTGAGTTAGTTTCCTGGTCTTCCTTGTGATTTGAATCCAAATGTCCTTTTTTTAAATAATAATTTTTATTTTTATATTTACAGTAATTTCATCTTTCATTCATACAGTGTGTTGTCTGGGTACATATACCTTGTGCTAACAACTATATTTTTCTTACCAATATAACAATAATCACATTTTCTTTATAATCCATTATTTCTTATGTCTATTACTGTTATAACAATCTTATTTCTCTATACACTCATCTACTCTGTTTTAACTTGTTTTATTTTCCAACCATTGATAAAATAGATCCCATATCACGTAATATTCAGTTTCTTCTTTTTCTTTAATTGCCAGTGTTAATCTATTCATCTCTGCACATTCAAATATTTTCTCAATCACTTTTCCCTCTGACGGTAGTTTATCACTTTTCCAATTCTGAGCAAAAACAATCCTAGCTGCTGTTAATACATGAATAATTAACTATATTTCTTCTTTGCTGTAACATTCAGGGACCCTCCCTAATAAAAATAATTCAGGTTTCAAATCATTTTTTCCATCAGGATCCAAATTCCCTTATGAGAAAATGTTGGTGGAACTCCAGCTCTTGCCCTGATACTAAAAATAACTGCTGGCATCAAGGATACCTTTTTCTGCCTCTTTTCACTCTGCTGGTACTCTGTGCTATGGAAAGTAACAGAGTGCACATTTTGTCCCATGGGATAAGATACCATCCAAGTGATATTATAAAGAAATTCTGTTATACTGAAAGGCTAATTGGAAGTTGAAATACACTTCATTTTTAAATGAACTGGGATGACTGAAGAATGGTCAACAAGTAAATTTCACACAGTTTAATCTATGCACTCACAGGCCTGTGTTTGGTTCACCTTCCTACAACCACTGTCTACTGGTAGTAAAGTCTTTCTCTCCTTCTTTTTTGCAGAAATGGGGCTCAATTTAGCATTGATGCATGTGGAATATGGATCTTTCTTTTCCCATTCCCCAAGGGTTCACAAACCAAATCTGACTCTGAAACCACGACACCACACTATTGTTCAAGGAAACAGTACTTACAAGGGGACATGCCACATCCATCATCTAGAAAGCACAGGGTAAATCCTCCTCGCAGGTGATCATTATTCACTGAAAGAGAAACCATAGCAAAGAGAAATTTTGTTCTTAGTTCCCTCCTCAGTAGTATCTCAAATGGTATTTTTCAACCCTGGCAACTTCAAGGCATGTATACTTCCACCCCCAGAATTCCCCAGCCAGGTGCTGACTGAGGAATTCTGTAAGTTGAAATTCACATATCTTAAAGTTGCCAAGGCTGAGAAATCCTGTTTTAGAGAAAACCAACCAGGCACAGGAAAGGCAGGTGGTGCTTCCTCTTACCTGCACATTTCTCTGGCCCCTTCAGGTGGCAGGGTTTACAAGAAAAAAAAACATTGGGGGTGGGGGGTGGGTGGAGAATCAGAGTGAAGGGAAGTCCAAGGAAATTATTGACTGATTGATCCAAGGAACTTATAGATCCTCTCCCTATTCTTATAACTATGCTAAAGGTTGCAATAAAGTAGGAGAGACTACTCGAAGTTAGTTTCATTTATTCAGCGATGACTAATTTAATTTTAATTTTAAATAACATATGTTTTACACATCTACTTAATCTCAAATAAAGTATTCCCTACAAAGCCTAGGCTATACCACTCTTCCTCTCCCTCCCCCAAACGATCTAAAAGCTGATATCAAATTATAAATTGGAAGAAGAGAAAAACAGATGAGGAATATGTCTAATAAATAAATTAATTTGATTATAATGAAGCCAAAGTTAAATAAAATGCAACTTTTTCCTGGTGATGCCCACTTTATGGAATGTTGTCCCTAACACAAAAGGCAACTGAAGGCCTCAGAAAATAAAAGGCTGCATGCTCCACTATCAAATCCTTGGAACAGCCTAAACATGTTTATTAATAAATAAAATATATGTTATCAGATTCAGTAATGTTTTTTTTCTTTCCTCCCATCATATATCTCTATTACATTTTAATAAACTACCATACATTAGTCAGTCTGTCTGTCTGTTTATCTATGTCAAAGTACATATTTGCCACTAGATCTTTAGGTTAAAGACATAAACATTGTGACTTCTACCCAGGTGTAGGATATATCTTTGCCTTGTCAAGTAAAGAAAGAAAGAAATCTTCCAAAGAATTTATTTTCACAAGGGCGGGTAATAAGTAAATTTAATGTGGTGTCCAATAAAATAATGCAATCAAGGGAAGAAGTCACTGAAAAGTAGATATTTAATATACAAATTATTAATTATATAGAACTCACCAGTATAAATGTCAAGTCTTGTGGCACCAGCATCTCTGAAAATATGGTTTATATATTTAAAGTATTAAAAAAAACCCAAAACACCAGAGTAATAATACGTATTACCTTTTAACTAAGAATTTATGTCCTGGAAAAGCAGAATACTCTAGTTTATATAGCGTCAACTCATATTAATATGATTTGCCACTGAATAGCAAAATAAAAACACAATAAAATTTAATTGAAAAGCTACAATAAAGTATAAGTTTAAGCCCCTCAAATCAGTGAATTAAACATATAGAAAATCGAAAAACTACAATATTGGAACTGCACTAGGCTGAATTCTCTCCTCTGCATCTGGAATTCCAGTTCAAACCCCAGAAAAAGAGGCCAAAAGACTTTTTCCTCTCAATCCTCCCAATCTAGAGAAAGAAATTAAATAATTGTTTTAAAAAACACTATGCTAAACAAGCAAACAAACAACAATAAAAGAAGAACCAAAATAACTATCTTCCTTCTCCTTCCATTTATTCTGCCCAACTATATCTACAAGTTCCTGTCTATGTTGAGATACACTGAAAGGGGTACTGGATTGCTCTGTCTAAATTCAAAGGTAGTTTTTGAAGAAATGTCAGTGCATGTGGCACATTATGTGAGCAGTTCTATGGTGAAAAAGACCACCCAAAAAAGCACTGGGGAGGTGAATTTTGCAGTTGACACGATCTCCCACTCCTACAATTTATAAGGGCACTGAACAATAAGAATTATGTTTTGTTTACTATCATTCTCATGGCTGCCTGATTATTTTATCTTGTATACTATGCAACTTTCTTTGTTATATGCTTCATATTCAAGAATAGTTTTTAACTAGTTTGTACATCACTCAGAAACTGCAGTTAGAGGAGTAATAAATAAGCCTTAAGAAGGTTCATTATGCTAAAGGCCAAATTTCAAAGAGCACCAAAACTTAGCCCAATCAATGGGTGACATTGATTCTTGTCAATTCATTCTCCAAGACAGATGTACAAGACTAAAGCTGATTTCTTAAATAACAGCATTTAATTAAATGAAGCAAAAGAAACAACTAATTAAGTTTTTGTGTCAGTCCACACCAGCTTGGCCAGAAGCTCCATTGTCAGGGTTGAAAGGATCCAGTCCCTGAACTTATGACTCGGTGAGAAGCCTTCAGGTATAAGTAGCTATTATGGCAGTAGAGCAAGATTCCCCACTGCAGGCATGGTGGAATGTTAATTGCTAGAATCCTAACCCATCTCAGTGCGAAGTCTTGGAGAAGGCTATACGAGAGATTGGTTTTGTTCAGTTTTCCAGGCTTAGCTGTACTGTTGATACAAAACCTGACCAATGAAGCTGGTCTAAGTACCATAATATTATTGTCTAAATTGGTGGGGAAAATAAAATAGGAACAAAACAGAATAAAAGGCCACTGGGAAAGGCACTCAGGTACCAGAACGAAAAGCTTAGCTTATTATAAAACATGGACCTTAAAAGCAACATATTTACCGTGAATTGTCAATCAGTTCAGCTATTGCTCCAAAAACAAAGTCATGTGTTGTGCTAGAAAGAAGCATTAAGGCAATTTTAACACAAAAGAAGCCAGAAAGCACAGGGATAAATTACACATGCAGAAAATGGCAATACAAAAAAGGATTTGGAGTGCATTAGAACCCTGCAGTCTTTGAAATATGAAAAACTCAAAGGGGAAGATGGGGGGATAAATACTGCTTTGAGAGATATTGGTACATACGCTGGAAAGTAAGAGCAATTAATTTTCTGTATGTCACAGAAAAATAGAATTCTTTATTAAAGTGTGATTGGATGCACAAGGAATTTGTCTCCAATGCATAAGATCTGTGTACATACAAGTATAAATCATGATAATCATAAAATACAATAATAATAAATCGTAAGATACACCCAGCAGATCCTTCACCCCAACTAGCAGACAAGAACAGGGACCAATGCTCAAACACTAGGACAGGTAAAAGGCTTATCTTTTTAATCAAACCTTATTATCTTCAACATTTCTTTTAGTTAATGTTTCTGGGTTTATTCTTAGCCCTCTTACTTCTTTCAAGATCAGGCTTACAGTTAGATTTGTTTCTAACAAATCTGATTGATTGCAATACGGATTGACTGGGTTCCCTAGGGTGTCTTATTGCCCAAAATTAAAAACCTGTTCATACTTACCCGAGAATTGCCACCACTAAATCCAATAGGACTAATACCGTTGACCCGAATCAACATGCAGCTCAATCTAATGTATAAAACATGCAACTCTAGTCGGTCTTAAGACGCACTTCTTAAAAGCATTGATTATCATGAAATACCGTGGACCCTAAAAGATGCAATTCATAGAAATGTATGTGCTAGCAAATGTACCCATCTATAAGATGCCACAATCTCAGGAACTTTTATTCCACCGAAATCAGTAGGACTCACAAAAAAGAGTTCCCCGCCCTCGGTTTGTCTAGTGAAGTGTTTTCAATATTTGGAAAACTTTTAAGATGGGTGGACTTCAACTCCCTGGATTTCCCAGTTTGTCAAAACACTTGGTCAACCGTTTGATCCGCGCTTTGGTAATTTGGTTATTCCTTGGGTTTTGAATGAAAAATTGCCGTCCCGCAAAGTTATCAGTATTACTTGATATTCAGGAAAACGGGACTTTTTTTTTTTTACCCCCATTGAGGGCAGAACCTAATCGACGTATCGACACACAAAACGTGACTGTCTCTTGTTTCACTCACGAGTTTGCATGCAAAAACTCCAGCGTTAACTCCGCCCTACATAGAGCTCCATAAAGACCCGGTCCGGCCATGGACGCTGCCAAGGCGAAGCAGCCTCGTCGCCGAGAGCTTAACAACCGAGCAAACCCCTTCGTTCGCCGCCCACGTGCAAAGCAGCGCAACCAGGGCGTAGCTGCGAAAAGGCTACGGAATAGGGAAGGGCGGGAGAGAGAGAGAGAGAGGGAGGGAGGGAGACGGACCGAAGGCGCCCTCTTGTGGAGAAAGCGATGGAAACAACCTTGAAGCAGAGTCCGGACGCGAAAATAGCCCAAATTACTGTAACGCAATGCCTAGTCATTACTCCGTACAGGTAATTCTCATCAGCTACAGCCAATCACCTTTAGTGGGCGTAAATAATCGTTTATGCTCTTATCACCGAGAGCTAGTTTAGTGTAGTGGTTAAGGCACTAGGCTACTATCGAGGAGCCGGCGAATTCTACTACGCCTGATTTAGGCACGAAGCCAGCTTGGTGACTCTCTTTCAACCTTAAGGAGGCAGTAGTAAACCGCTTCCAAAAAAGTTGCCAAGAAAACTGCAGGGATTTATTCAGGCAGGCGGCCACATTCACAAAACCCGCCATCCATCATATCTGTAGTAAGGTGCATAGGAACTTGGGTGGTTTGTAAATAAGACTGAATGACATTGCATCCAAAACCAGTCATTTGAATTTGCAGCTTCAAAGATGATGGCTTGCAGTTAAGTGAATTGCAGCTCTTCTGAAAAAGCACACATTATTAGAATATTTAAGAGTTATGAGTTGTAATTGCCTTTGCAAAAAGGTCCACTCTGATAGGTCATAAGCACCAGATTAGCGGCCAAAATCCTTTTCTAGATTCAATCACCTACACGAGAGGCAGTCAGTTCTTCTTTCAAACACTGAATGAAAAGCAATCTGTCAATCATTCTTTGATTCAGATTCTTGTGGTGAGCAACATGTTGTATTTGATGGCTGAAATGACCCCTTTCAGCTCTAGTATCATGTAATAAAGAAAATTATTGTTATTCCCTTGAAAATGAATGAATTTGCAGTGCAAAGCAACACTTAAGGTTTGCTTGTTTACTTTTTTTTATGATGAAAGAAGACTTCACTTTGTATCTTCTTGTCAATGCAAAAGGCTAATGGACTTCCATACTGGTACTATAACAAATCTTTCCAAAGGATTCAGTATTTTTAGGACTATTCCTGACATCAGATTCATGTTGCAGGATGTGAGATCCTACTCACATATTTTCCATAACTTGTGTGAAACCTCTTTTCAAATATTCAGTGAGAGAAAAAAGACACATAGTATGAATACACATATACTTTGAAAATGATTCAAAAGTTGCTTTTTGAAAAGAACAGAGATATGCCTGAAGCATCTTTTCAAAGTAGATAGAAAATCCATGGCTTCTTTGAAGAGGTCATACAGTCCCACACTGGCAAGGGCCAAGGCCAATTTTCTGTATTATTTCCAAAGCATAATATTTCCACAGCTGTAATATGTATAACAGTTTCCTATATTCTGATCTGTTTAAATGGGCTTAATCAAAGGTGGGGTCAGACACCAAAGTGCATAGAAACATCCTTTTTCCTCTGACTTTGGTCTTGTCTGATTTTACGAAAGGTCTAGATTTGTGTTTCTCAATTGTAGTATGTGTGGACTTCAACTCCCAGAATTCCCTAGCCAGTATAGCTGGTTATTGAATGGTCTAGATCTGAGCTCAGGAATTCTGGGAATTGTTCCACAAGTCATTAAAAAGGCCATGGTCTAGATATTAAAGTTCTTGGAAGGGTTGCTTCCTGTCATGCCCTTGGTGGAGTCTGACAGGAAGAGGAGGAACAGCCAACAGGGAGTGGGAGTGTGGCTCCAGAGGTGGTGGAGGAGGCTGGGGAAGGGCAGAGGCCGGCTGAGCAGTCAGAGGAGGATCCAGGCCCATCCCCTATCCACCCTAGGTCACGCAGGGAGGAGAGGATCAGAGAAAAGTGAGGTCTACTCAAGAGGAGATTACCATGAACCTCCTCGTGGCTTGCAGGTGGGAGCTATGTATATAAGTTTGCAACTGCGCAGTTAGAATTGCTGAAGTCAATTAGTGTTCACCTTGAAAGAGGCTTATCTTTGCTGGCATTCTTCCCATGGACTTTTCTCAGTTAATTTCCTGGAGTTTATAACTAGTTATCTCGGCTTGCTTCGGAACTCTCATCAATGAGGTTTGTTTTGGTTTTCTGTTTATCTCGTTATTTACTTTTGTGCCTTTAAACTGTGCCTAATAAAACAGTGAAGTTAAGTTGAAGGCTTTACCAGACTTTAATATATGTTTTGGGTTTGGGGTTATTTTGAGAGACTACGGGTCATCACACTTCCCTTTGACAAAGGGTTGCTTGATTCCATTTTGATCCCTGAATTCGAAGCACCCATTTGATAAAGAACCATAATATATAGCTTCTAAGTAGGGCAGTGGAAGTGCAGAAACTGATTGTATTAATGCAAACTGGTTCAAACAAATGGAGTGATTAGTTTTGGCAAAATCTGTTCATGAATCTTGGCGAGGGGGCTAAACTTATACTGAGGATCACAAGATTAGTTAGTTTACTTTCTTGCCATTGCACCTCATACAACAAAATTAAATGCCATCTTCAGTGTACATTATAATTATAAAAGTAAAACACAGACATCCTTCACATTCTATACAATTGAACTGAAAACCCCTGATACTGCATTAATATTGCACTATACAGTAGAATTGAATGTCTCTTCTGAGATAGAAACTGTTTTTCAGCCTATTTGTCCTTGTTTTTATTATCCTGTACTGTCTTCCAGATGGTAATAGTTAAAAAAAACAGGCAGTCACCATTTTTGCTGACACTGGGCATGAGTGTTCAGTCAACAAAGGATTTTCCCAGGGACTTCATGTCCTCAGAGAAGAGGCAGTCCAATACTTCCAAGTTTTTATTTTGTGCTGCTAGGGCCAGGTCATCCTCATACCCAAATTTTTGTCCCCTTGTAGCTAGCATATCTGAGATCTAAAGATTGAACATTGTGGGTGCCAATACAGAACCTTGTGGAAGGCCTTGGTTGAGTCTTCTTAAACTTGCTAACTTTGTCCCCCATAGTGATCTGAAAGGATCTATTGCTGAGCATGTTGTTTATTAGGTGATAGAGGATTTTACAGGGGATGATGTGACTCAGTTTGTAAAGCAGACCCTTCTTCCACATGGTATAGTATGCTGCAGTAAGGCCGATGAACACAGCTGTAGTTTTTAAGCCTTGCTGGAAACCAGCCTCAATATGTGCAATTAGGCTCAGCACCTGATCAACACAACTGCGATTATGATGAAAGTCAGCTTGTTCCAAGGGCAGAAATGTGGGTCCAATTCTGTTTATGATAAGTTTCTCCAGAAATTTGTAACAAGAACTCAGAAAGGCAATGGGATGGTAGCTTTCTACTCTGTTTTGTGGTTTGCCAGGTTTCAGAAGCAATATTACTTTGGCCCTTTTGAATTCTGGTAGGAGGTGTCCACTAGAAAGTATGTTTGAAAAGAATTTGCTGAGCCAATTCCTTTTTAGTCTCCCAGAATGAATTAGAAATTTGGGGTGGACGCCATCAACAAAGCCTGGTGCTTTGTCGGACTTCAGACTGTCCACAGAGAAAGGGTGGGTGAATTCAGAGTGCGTAAAGCCGACCGTTGAAAGGGTAAGAGCACTTTGATGATTGTAGTTGAGTGGTCCTTCACTATTGGGGCTTTAGAGAGGAAGGCTACTTGATCAGCAGTTACTCTGGGTGTTTGTCAAGTAGTTGTCTGTCAGCTCCCAGTTTCATTAGTTGACTGGTTGGTGGGATCCGATGAATGATACTGTCGAGGTTTTTGGAAAATTTTGACCATTTAGCTTTATGAAAATTCCATCTGGATCTATGTGTGGAGCAAATTAGGAGAATCTGAATTCTGATTTCAAGCAAAACAGGACAGTGTTGACTTTGAGGAAATTTGTCAGGAACTTTCCTTGTTATTGGAAGTGGCTGCATGTTTGGGCCTTCTGAGACAAAATACAAATCTGGGTTAGTTACACATTTCCAGGCAGCAGATTGGGAAGTGCACTTGTCTTTGGCATCAAAAATCAAGTGGACTTTATTTGCAACAGCCCAGTCATAAAGCTGATCCCCATTTTTGTCAGAAGAGCGATAGTTCCAATTTACATGATGGATGTTAAAATCACCCGCATAAATTTCAGGGTGAGGTTTGACATCCAAAACATGCTGTAGCCAGGATATCTGAGGTGGCTTGTAAATGTTGACTATTGTGAAATCACCTAATTTTGAAACAACTTCTCATCAAAATCATCTCAACAATATCATTTCAGCAACACCGTCTCAGCAACAAACTTGCCAATGTCACCACAAAGGCCTACCTGAATAACAACCTTCTCCCTTATGATCCTCACCCCAAATACCTTGGAGTAACTTTGGATCGGATTCTCTCCTATAAGAAACACCTAGAGAACATCTTTACTAAAATCAATACCAGGAACAACTTACTCCAGAAACTACGAGGATCTAGATGGGGAGCCTCACCCTCTACTCTCAGAATATCAGCACCAGGGTTGGTCTATTCCACAGCTGAATACTGTGCCCCCATTTGGGTTAACAGCTGCCACACGTTCAAGGCTAAACTAAATGAAACAATGAGGATCATAAGTGGTTGCATAAAATCTACTCCTACTTGCTGGCTCCTCGTCTTGAGCCAAATAGCACCACTAACCCTACGAAGGCAGGAAGCCTTAGTGAAGGAGTACAACAAAATTATGAGAAACCCACTTCTTCCTGTGCACACTGATCTTCCTCATCTATCAATTGGCAGGCTTAAATCCAGGAAGCCCTCTCTGGCACTCACTCAACAGGTCTAACAACTTTGACATCAACTCACAGTGGAAAGCCAAATAGGCTGCTGAACACCCAGATACGGGCAGTTATGTAGATGATGCTACACAAAAGGTGCTAGATTTTGACCTTCCTCACCAGCATTGGTCAACTCTGAACAGGATCCATAACCAA